TTCAGTGAATGGTGTTGTCATGGTTACTAAAAATAGAAATTTCTGTGAAATACTTTCAAAATGCTACTCCTCCTACAGTTTTCGTTTTATTTTAATTTAATTTGGCACAGAAGTAGACTACATTAAGATACATAATTCTATTTATTGTTTCTTGTTGCAAAGTTTCAAATCCAAGTGCTACTTTTCCTTTGTTATACGTACAGACCAGTAGAGCTACAGTCTCATCAGACACTTCTGGTTTTTTCCGATCATGACAATGAGCACACGGCGGGTGTGACCGGTCGGCAGGGGACTCCTCCATGGCACCTGATCCCACCTCTAAATTTTGAAATCCGTGTTTGCTCTGCTCCAAATTTGTATCGTTTCATTGGACTTTCGAGATTGAATACTGTTCGTTATCTACATATTTTATTTATAGGAAACTTCGTGATGAATATGTGTTTTACAAGAATAAATCCTGTACAAACTGTTTTACAAATTTCTAAATCATATATGTATTTTCCTTGTATCCCATGTCCTTAAAAAAGTGAACTATATATATACTTCTGTATATATATATATATATATATATATATATATATATATATATATATATATATATATATATATATATATATATATATATATATATATATATATATATATATATATATATTACATATTTCATTTAGATTTGCGTGTTATGTTATAGAAATATATCTTTTTTTTTTATGTCGTTAATTGTTTAATGCTTTTGCAAATATCAATAATCGACTTGATTTTGATTTATACTAGTCAACAGACAGGTAGCTTAATACTACAAAAACAGATGTACATAAAATTGTCACAGCATATGAATGTTTACGTCAGTCTTTAGGCACGCTTCAATCTCAAAGTAATAGAAAAAGGAAAATACTTATACTTGATCTTTAGTTTTATTGCAAGGAATTTTGATGTGCAATCAATAATCTAATCCCTCATTATACAAACTATAGTATATTTCCACTCAAGATCACAAAGAATGATTTGCGTTTTCATTTTACTCGTAAATTATAATTCAATAGTTTTTTTTTTTTTTTTGTAAGAATTTCACACTCGGAACACCGAGTTCCAGTGTAGAAGGACAAGTGTCTTAGTTATATAGGGACCGTAACCAACATTTTGGCAGATTTTGTATTTTAAAGAAATGCCCCTCTCTTTCTAAAGCACGAGGATAGCCGCCACATGAAACGAATAACGGTGTTGTATTGGGTTTTATTAAAGAGATCATTGCTTTTCATTAGACAAACAAGGAAACTATTCGTTATACCATTGGAAATTATTAAAGTTGCATTATTAGAATCTTTTGCAACGCAATGGCATATAAGAATCATATTCTTTATTCACTGTACATATGCCAAAATTAACAAATGCATATTTATTTGAATTACATTTCCCACACGTGGTGAAGCCGCCTCTATTATTTTAACGAGGCCTTATGTGTTTTGGCTAAACAACTGCTCCAGAGAACTTAAATTGACCGATGTGGAAACACCTTGTACTAGTCTGCAAAACAAACGGGAAATCATATTTTGCAGGAAATTTTGCACATCACATATTTATGCTAGATTGTGTTCTTTTCTAGTCCCCGGTTAATGACATGTCAGGAAAGGGTACCAGTATTTTGGCTGGCAGGAACTTCTGAAGATATAGATACTCTCAGATAGGAGAAAAAAGTAACAGAGCTTGTTAAAATTAATAATGCGTAATGCTTGTTACGGGCTAGATTCTTCCTGATGGTTCCGATGTATGCCACACACAATCACGCGCACTATCTCACAACTGGATACTAAAGAGTGTCAAGGCTCAATTCGACCAGATCGAAGAACCAATGTGTGTTTTAAAGGAATTGCACTCTAAATTGTCCAACTTTTTAAAACATTTGTTTCAATATATCCACTGCAAGGTCCTGAAGATATTTCATTGTCTTTACTTACTGTTTGAAATGTTGAAAAAATATTAATAATTTATATATACCTTGACTAAAAGTAACAAAAACATAATTATATACTATAGTGTCGTTTACTGATTTTTATTTGAAAATTAAAATAAACACACGTGTAGTTATTTAAATATTCAAATAAAATTCAGTAAACGACACTAGTACATGTATAAAGTTTTAAACATTCATCTTCGTAATTCTTAATTTATTTATATCATTTATAAATGACCTGCTGACCAAGATTAACGGTACCAATTTGTTTCATGAAATATATGGAGATTATGAACAGTATTCAAGCTGAAAAGTCCAATTAAACAATACAAATTTGACAGGAACAGAGAAAACACGGACCTCCAAAACATCAGAGGTGGGATCAGGTGCCGTGAAGGAGTGAGCATCCGCTGCCGACCGGTCACACCCGTCCTTGTCATGATTGAGAAATAACGGAAAAATCCGTAAACAATTCAATGTGTAAATAATGGCCTAACAATTAGTATGAAAAAAAGTCAGTCAGCATTTGATTATGTAGACAAATTTCTAAGTCCTAACATATCATGTAAATCAACCATTGCGTGACTAGTGTCCCAAAATCGGTTGCTTTTCCAGAGAGAGAAAAATGCGTTTGCCAATTTAATTGCAATGTAATGCACGGGTTATATGCCTTTTTAGTGTTTCTTGTGATAAAATGTTATGTTTTGCACAATGGTCGTAAATTTTGTCATTTGCCATTTAATGTGAATTTTTTGCGTTTTGTATGCATATACATTCTGTATATCATTTGTGAATGAAACTTTAAACAGACGCGGAGAGTTATTAATGCTTTATCAAACCGACCCACAAAGGTTAAACAGTTTATCAGGAAACTCGTTATGATACATTTATCTAAATTAATTTGCTGTTTTACAGATATTTATTTTCGTCCGAGTCTGACAAAAGCTTGGCGTCGTTTAGGATAAGTAATTGTTACATGCACGTTGCGACGTTCAGCTCCGTTTCGTTAGTCGTACAATAATAGCTCTGATATTTTGCCTCATTGGTGATGTCATTAATCACTGTAAAATGAACATGATTTTTAAGGAGAAATATAATGACCTAAGACAAAGTAATGCGAAAGAAGTTGCCAATTGCACCAAAGATCATAAAAGACAATTTGTTTTAAATGTTTTCTTTATTGATTTACGCACATGAAAACAATCGACAAGTCTTAACGTACTGGTCCTTGACAATCGGTTTAACGGTGAATGTTTTCTTTTGAAATTGTTATGTTTATATTTAAAGTATAGAAACCATCTGTGAAGCATTTTTTGCCTAACTCATTCATCTAAAACTAACGGGAACTATTGATGCTATCACCACAAAGAAACAAAAGCCAAATATATCCCCCCGGTATTATATGGCACCACTTTCAAAAACTGCAACCGATGCCATCAATCAGCGAGGATCATTAATTACATAATCATACTATATAAATTGTCTTCTTATCTTACAGTGTTTTTAAAAAAGGAGTATCATTAAATTTTCTGTTTGAAATAACACAGTCTTATAATTGGATAAATACTTCCAGAATGCAAAACAGATGATTGATTATATAAATAATTTGCCATGATTCCCCCCTTGTCGAAGACTAAATGTTTTTCGATCGTTTTCACCTTATTGTAAGGAACATTAAAGACGGGTTTCCGAGGAAATGGGAAAAATGATATTGAATTGGTTCTGTAGCCGATAGACGCCGACTTTAGACTCAAAGCAGCGTGAGGGAAATATTGAATTTATGTTTGCATTTTGTTACAGTATGCACCTGAGGCCATTATTGTTTATTTAAAATCAAATAGCTTCGTTACATCTCAGTCATATATAATCTTAAAATAATTTTATTCTATTGAGAGAGAGAGAGAGAGAGAGAGAAATAGCGGCATCACTATACTGATAGACTGATTATGATGAATTGCAATAGTAGCAGTTTATTTATTATAGTGACATGTGTTTTAAAAAGTGAACAACCTATTGAATAAAAAAGAGCGTGCAGAATGCCTATAGCTTTAGATATATAAATACCGTATTCAATTTGTGAATTTAGTATTTAGAGTAAAGTTCTTAATACTGAAATTTATAAAATTATGACAACTTTTCTGCGGAAAATTTTCTAGGCAAAAATTATGCGATTATTAAAAAAATAACTTTGTATTTTTGGGGTTCGAATCCTTGACTATATGGACTTAAAGTATACAATATATCCTATAACCTCTCGTCAACATCTTTTTTTTTCTTTTCCTTTTTTCAATAACCGTGGTCTTCTAGTGTTTTTATTTCATCTGGACACCAGCCTCTGATAATGAATATATATGATTATAATTCAATGAGCTGACCATTGGGTACTGACAAAGAAACATTAATATTTTAAAATGAGGTTTTAGTGCCCTGGTCAAAGTGCGTTTTTATTGTAAAATGAATCAATCTATAGCCAATCAACGCTGGTCAAGTGACAGACTTTGTGAATATTCATGACTTGATCACTTATGGCATCCTCGATATCACAGGAAAACCATCTGTTTCTTTCAAATGCTCCACAAATAATTCATTTCATTTTTTTGTCCTTCCGCACTTTAACGATAGAAGCTACGTCCCATAACACTTAAGGGTGTGGTAAGCCAAATTAAACTAAAACTACAAATCCATTATTGAATTCTGCCAAGGAAATCGGAATCAAAGAAATGATTCATATGTTTAAATCGCGTTCAAAAAATTTTAAAGAATACCTGAATATTGAAGCTTAAGCAGTACAGATATAATTTACGGAAACATGGGAATCGTAATCACTCTCAAGAGTTTTGCATTCCAAAAAAAATGTATATCTTGAATGACATACAATTTTTATGTAGATTTATATGTTTTACCAGTGTGTATAAAAACGATAATGTGAACCTAAAAATACAATGATATTGCACCATGACGATTTTTTGAAACAGTTATAGATAATTATATTATAACTGTTAATTACTGAGTATAGTCTCTTATTTCTTTATATTTTTTTTCCTTACAGCTTTCGGTTCCCGTCTTGGAGTCTCGGGCAGGTACCCGGTCCCCAGGTTTGCCTACTCTGAGACCAATGTGACGGTGAATGCCGGGGACACCGCCAGCCTAGTGTGTAAGGTGGAAAATCTCGGGACAAGAAAAGTAAGAATATCTCATAGTAAATTCTCATCATCATGTACTTAAAATACCCATGTCAGGTTATATCTGGTATGGGTATTTTAGATACATCATGATGAGGAATTACCTTTCAGTGAATTTATAATTTACATGTATAATTGCCTTTTTTTAAAATAATACATGCATTGAACTATTCGTGTAAATCTTTTTCTATGTAGTCATCACTTAAGTTATTTGCTTAGTAATATGTACAAGATAAGATACAGTTAGTGAGCCAAAATCTGCCGAAAGTGCAAGTATGCAAGGGTCAGAATGTGCAAAACTGATGTTTCAGTATTTATCACACAGAACTGCGTGAATATCATTCATCTGGAAACTACCACTGAGATCAAACCACCCTCAAAGGTCTGTAGGTTCCAAGAATATGGACAGTTTACAGAGAGGAATACTGACAAGAGTCATTAATGTGTCATAACATTGCGTTGGTCGGTATTGTCTTTGGCGATCTGTTGAAAGTGTGTGTCGACGAAAGTACACAATGAAGAAATAAATTTCAATTGGCGAAGTACCCCCCAGATCCCCGTGCTTTGTGCATTACGGTAATGGGGGAAATTGTGAAAATCTGTGTAGCTAGTTAACAAATTGCTACACAATTCCATTAATTACAGTGGGTTGTCTTGGGGACAAGTACATGTACTATGCCGTGATCGGTCAGAAGAAACGAAAGATTATTTCAGAGATCAAACCAGAAGGCATGATTTCAATCGGAGAAAAAGCAGGTACTGGACACCTAAGGCACGGCTAACCTCGCTGTCACCCCCGGATGTCAATGTTCAATGCAGACCAGGCGTTGTCTATTGTTTATCAATTGTTCATGATGAGTATTTAATGACGTTCCATCTATACCATTATTTCATCAACAGTTCGCATCCGATACACAGTATAATGGTTTTATAGTATTGCAGTTCACGGTTTACCGATATGCAAAGATACATAGATTGGCACGACTCTCAAAGACGGGCTTTATATTCTGGGAAACATGCATAGAACATTTTTACATACAAAAATGCAGAAAATCTAAAATTATCCATTACGGTATTTGACGCTTTCTGTAAAATTTGCTCAAGTGCTTAGAAATTAATTGCAAGATTTATCATTTAAGAAATAGTTCATTTGGCAATTTAAAAACAATCTTGTCTCTTGTGATGAAAATAGCATATCTGTTTTTTAAGACTCGCATGTTTCTTAAAAAAAATAAGCAAGAAAAGAAAAATATATTGGAAAAGACTATCTAACCAAATATTTTTTTCTGTTCACTATGCCATCCATCCATCAGTTTCAGTATCCCATCCATTTTTTTCTCCCGAGTCATCAGACAATTAAACAATTAATACCGGTATATATATATATATATATATATATATATATATATATATATATATATATATATATATATATATATATATATATATCGTAAGAAATACAAAGTCACAGGCAGTGAAACAAAGATGTGTCTTTTTAAAACAAGCATAACTACCAAATAGTGTACCAGTATCAGAATGATCGAAGAATTTTCGTCTTTTTTATGTTAACACGTGCTTATATATAAAGTAAAGACTACAAAATGGTCTCATTTTTTCCTTTTTTTCAAATAATGAAAAAATATGTTGGGTACTTTTCATCCATTACAGGTCATTTGGAGAAAGCCACCTGATGTATCGCCTTTAACGATTGGTCAATATATTTTTGTTAACGATGTAGCCATGTCTGTGGAACATGCGCGAGAATCGGAGGACTGGAAACTGATCATTTCCGATGCACATTCCAGACACAGTGGAGAGTACGAATGTCAAGTGCCCACTGCCGATAAACAGATGCGGAAACATTTCTACCTCACTGTAATAGGTATGACTAGAGTATTCATACTTGTGCCAGTTAAGTGACTTTGACAAGAGGATATGTACAAATTAATTATGAACAGTAATTAGTCAAATCGCTGCCAAATTCTGCTCCGAGTATCAAAAAAATTAATCAATCTAATGTAAAAGCATCCCCATCGTCTTGTAATCAAAACATGGATAAGTTAATAGTAAAGTATCGATACTGAGTATTTTGAAGTCCAATGAAAATACTGAGCACCTTGTGTCTACTGACTGCGCCTGTGAGATGTTTAATGTTCTTTTCTGACCCGACGTTTAACTTTTAGCTCACCTGAGCCGAAGTCCGTTGTCTGTGTTGTCGTCATTGTTGTTGTAAACTTTTCGCAAGTTCTTCTCCAGAGCAACTTGGCCAGTTTCAACCAAAGTTGGCACAGAGCATCCTTGTGTGAAGGTGATTCTAGTTGTCCAAATGAAGGGTCACACCCTCCTTCAAGGGGGGGGGGGGGCAAATTAAGAAATTAAGAATTAGTGAACATTTTATGGCATCTTTCAAAAATCTTCTTTTCGAGAAGCAATGGACCAGATAAAGATGAAACTTATATAAACGCTTCATTACACAGTGTAGATTTAAATTTGTTCAAATCATAGCCCTGAGGGTAGGGTGAAACCACAATGGGCAATCAAAGTTTTACATAAGAAAAATATTTTGAAATCTTCTCAAGAATAATAAAGCTATGATAAGTATTATTTATCCTCTGATAGTATAGATTCAAGTTTCTTTAAATCGTGTCCCCCCGGGGGTAGGATTGAGCCACAATGGGCGATCATAGCTTTTCATAGAAATAACTATATATTAGAAAAAAAATTTAAGAGTCTTCTTCAAGAACAGCAAAGCCATAGTAAGTCATATGGAAGCATCTTCAAGTAATGTGTGATCAAATTTTACATAAGAATATACAGAAAACAATCTTTATTTTTTTCTCAAGGACAGCAAAGTGAAGATTTGTCATACTTACTGGCATCCTCCTGTGGCGTAGCAAATTTGTTCAAATCATGACCCCCAGGGCTATGGTGAGGCCGCAATAGGAGATCACAGTTTTACATAGGAATATATGGGGGATATGCTGAATCACAGTTGGCTCAGGTGAGCGCTGTGGCCCATGAGTCTTTTGTTTATTCTCCTTTCCCCTTAGTAACGCTTATTTTATAGGAAAATAATGGATACTGTCACTGAGAAGTCAGATCTTGAATACTTACATGTAAATGTTGTTGCAAATGTACATTAGATGATCAATCGATGACAGTTTAAGCACTGCGGCAGTTTTCTTAAGAAAAAGAAAAACTCTATTCTTCTCCTTTATCCAAATTTTCATTTGAACATATCTGTATTATGATAAAAAAGTACATTTGGAAATTAAGGTGCAAAGTTTTGTTTTCACCAAATTACTGTCATTTTTGATATATTGTTCTTGTATTTTGTATGGCCTAATCGTTGCGATCTCTGACACCCTTCCGTATCCGCTTCCGTTACTGATCACGTGATACTCAAAAACTATATCGCAACAAAACAATAGTACATCATTGTAGAATAACAGAGCTTCTTAGAATTGTTCCTCCTTGATTATGCGATAAAGTAACTCTAAAAAGACATAGTAAGGGTAAAAGAGGAACGTTTGTTGGCCATTTAGATGTTAGGCTACTAAATACATAAATGAATTCCTTGTATTTATGTCAGGGAGTGAAAATCGTTGGTATGTTATAAAAGAGGTATCGTTCAAAATAGTTGTATGTTTCAAAACATAAACAAGAGATCATTTTTTAATTATTTTTAAATTCATTTTGAAGGATAAACGTATTCATTTGGCTGAAAGATAATGTATCACAAGATATATCTGTTGAAGAATGTGAACAACGCGTGGGGAAAAGAGACATAGAGAAGTTTATATGATTCGGTCGAAGTAATCTTTTAAAATCTGGATTCAGTATTGAACTTCAAGGTTTAAATATGTATAATTGGCATGATTGATAAGGCTATTACTCATGGTTATTTACAAGGTAAAATCAGCTGTTTTGTTGTTCTCCTCTAGCATTCATGCCAAATAATATGTACATGTCAAGCTTTACAGTCCCAATACTTTGATGCTTACGTCCTTTCACATTTTTTTTTAAGTTCGGGTACATAGTTACATCTTTGTTTTGTTTAATTTCACAATTTCAAGTGTAAAGGAATTTTGAATTTTGTAGAAAAACAACATGTTCCTCGACAAAAATCAAACTCTAAAGAAGGTAGGTAAGAGAGAGAGAGAGAGAGAGAGATGTCAGGTTGAAATCCTGGTATATTCAAACTGTTGTGCATTATTTTGTTACTTTTATTGCGTAAAGATTCTTTACAAACACGGTTTTTTATTTAAAGCTTCAAGGGCTGCATTTTTATTGTACTTTAAGTCTCCCGGAGATATTTCTTGATAAGAAGTAGTAAATTCTCTAATAATCCTTTGATTCAAATTTTTGTGGTGACTTTAATTCGATATTGAGAGTTGCTCATGTTTTATCAACATACATCATATAAGCTTTTCTTTGTCCTTATCTTTCAGTGATCCACATTTCTGACAGACAACATGTAAATACTGACGAACCATTTGAAATTTATTGTAATGTCACTGGAGTAGACTTTGTTCCTGAAAATATTGACTGGTTCAAAAATGGTGAAAAACTTCAGAGTAATGTTGAAAGGGGTGTTACTATTAAATTTTCTGTGACAATGGAAACAAAAACTATAAAGAGTACTTTTCGTGTCGAGCATGCGCGGATGAGTGATGCTGGGACTTACACATGTCGGACATCCAACAGTCTGGTGGAGTCAACATCAGTTGTTGTGTTGTATGGTCAGTATCGCCGCATGATTTTCACGCACTAATTTATATTCTGATGTAATAAAGATTATCAATCTTTCTAACAAGAAATTCCATACGAATAATTGAAGTGAAGCGTGATAATACGCCACTTCTCTTTGTTCCTGATCCGTTAGGATCGTTTTTAGTTTGTATCTCTGTTGCCGGGAAAGTAGAAACTGCACTCCAGTGCCATTAAACAGTGTCATCTTACTCCAAACATTAATTTGCAAATCGAGTTTGATTTGTATCCCAAGACATTCTAGTCCGGAACAGATTGATTTTGGGCTTTGACTGTTCGACAGAATGTGATAAATGAGACACTTGGCAGATTGGATTCCCAAATGTGACTATATCGTAATCTGGGACGGATTTTATATTTTTCCTGGATACTCAGAAATTCTTTTTTCTCCTGTATTCTTCAAATATCGTGTCAAAACTCAGAATTGGCATATGTTTGCTAGAGATAATTTGAAACATGCTTTCGGTTCGTTAGAAATAGCTGTCTCCCATTTATATGTCATTTAACACTTGATATGAATAATAATTGATTTCTCAGCTGAAAGGAATTTTAAGTTCAATTCTTTATCTGCTTTCTTTTTCAGCCACTAGCAAGAACAGCAAAAGAGGTAAGTTTAATGATGATGTGTTCTGGTCCGCCCACAGAATTTTGTTTATTACGCAAAATTTAATCAAGACCGAATTACGACCTAACGACCGTGTTCTTTTCCTATTGAAAAGTTGCAAAATTTCTAAGTTGATCCGTCTAATTAGAAAATAACTTTGTAAGACGAATTCTAGAAGTATAGTCGTTACATAAGTCCCTTAAATTAGGGGTTTACATCCACCTGAGCTCGGCCAATAAACAGACTGGAATCAATTCAGTATGACGTATAGCTTTCCTGTTTTGAAAATATTTGTCAAAGTTTAAAAGGGTCGAACCATTCAAGTGTACAAACAACGAAGACTGTTTCATTATTTTATAATACAAGACCTAAGCGAGTCGTATTACTACTTCAGACGGACTCTGTGTAAAAGGCTTTCTGCCCGCATGTTAACTTTTACTAGTTTTAGTGTTCGGGTCATAAGGACTACTAAACCATGTCAGTCGATGTATCTGTTGCAATCCAAAAGTAGGTCGTCATGGTCTCATTTTGGAATTTTATGGCTATATAGTCAAATGATGCTCTGATAATATCTTGCACACTTTAAGGCACAGGACCATCAAACGGGGTCTGTTGATGCATAGATCTGGGTCGAGGTATGTACATTGTACATACTCAATCGGGTACAGACAACAGCTTGCACGCTGTGAGGTGAAGTATCATAGGGCTAAGGCGTATTGTAATCAAAAAAAGGTCACCATGACCTCAATTTGAAAATGTTTGGCTCTACATAGTCAAATAGTGTTCGAATCTTACACACTGAGGTTTGGGACCACCAAGCATTGTCAGTTGATGCATCTTGAAGGAACGTGTGTCGCAACCGAAAGGTAGGTCACCGTGGCTTCTAATCAGTTTAATCAAATAGTAACCGGATCATATCTTGCACACTTTAGACTTAGGATCATCAAACCATGTCGGTGAATGTATCTTAGTGGAAGGTGTGTGACAACACAAAAATAGGACAACTGGCCTCATTTTGGAACTTTATGGCTGTACATAGTCAAAATTTCAAAATAGTATATAATGTATCCAGCGGTTCACTTTATTTGTTTAAAAATAACACACACAAAACCTTGTCACTATGCGGTAGAATACAGTAGGAACTACATACATTTTCAATACTCTAGGAACGCCCAAATGTACATTGTTTTGGCTCAATTTAATTAAAAACAATTGCCCTATTAAATAATTGTAAAAATATAACAATTGTATACGTTTAAAATTAATTTGTTATTTTCCCCCTCGCAATATTCATTTGCTCCACGTCACAACGGCTCTTAACAGGTTTTGAAAGGCGCTAAATTCATAATCAAGATTAACGAAATTGACAATACTAGAGAATGTAGATATAAGCATTGAATTCTTATTTTTGGATGTCGTCGGTCCTATAACAGCACCTGTCCTTGCCAACAAATTATCATACCGTGCTAAAATAAAAATTCAATACTTAAGTATGCATTGAAGTGATAAAATGATAAAGAGAAAATATTTTTAAACAAAAAACTGAGTGTTTTATAAAGTATAACTTCTTTTTTCAGTAATTATCTCGGAACGGAACTTAAAATCTGAGAATCGCGGAGAAAACCCAGCATCTAATAACCAGCAGCCGATGTCTTCGACCAATCATCTACAGTCATCGTTCCTATGTCATCTGTATTTGTCACTTGTTATTGTACTGTTTTTCATGGTGTAAAGAGCTCGTTGTTTATCGATTTTTTTGCGAATTTCTGAGATGGTCAGTGATCTCTGTCCAGATTGGTTTTTCTGGGCGTGGCTTACACAAGTGGAGCTTAGCAGCCTCCACAATTTGTGTAATTCAGTTAAGTGCATATATATACGTTTGTTCAACTCTTTTTCGTGCTGTCCATAATATTTACCTCATTTCTAGACGCTACTAAATACACTCAACAGTCTGGTCTCAGTATACAGATACATTTATCACTGAGTACTTTTCTTTTTATGTCGTAAGTAGAAAACTAAGTGTGTTCGAAAAGATGAGTGATGGCGCCGAAATATTTGCACTCGGAGGATGGTACTGACATAGGGAGACTTGAGACTTGTATTTATTATTAACAGCTGATGGAACTGACAATGACAGTGTTATGGTCTTTGGTGTCAAATCGATTACCAAGATTCATTTTACGACTTTTCACAATTTTATGTTTTAATTAACTGGTTTTGTTATCATAATATTTTATGCACGAGTCATTCAGTTTATTAGCATTCATCTCGATTGTATTATTGGTCTTTACGTGTTTGTAGAGGCATCAAATGTTATTTTAGGACTGCTTAATTATCTTCAGATCGTATTCCATCCTGCCCATTCCACCTTATCAAACTTTTTTCATGTTGTTTTCCTTTTTATTTTCACCATATTTTGACTGAATATTGAATCGATATTTAGTCTTAGGTGACATCTTATTGAAAGACTGTTATTTTGGACAGAATATGAAATAAAATATTATGTGTATTGGTAGTTTTACCAAAATGTGCTTCATTTGAAAATGACTGTAGCGATATACTTATTTTTGTTTATTTAGAATATACAGTTATACAACTGTTAACAGATAAAGTTGTACCTTATTCACATTAAATAACAAGGTCACGTGATATATCAATGAAGTAGTATATGTTCTTAATTATAAAACTTTATATTTGTCACATGAATAAATATTTTCAACAGTAGACTTCATTGCTGCATAATTAAATGGTATACAGTATACATGTATAATCTTTATCTTTTGAAATAAGTGCATTACTCCAGTGTTAATATTTTCGGACATAAAAAGATCACGGATTGTAATGTCCCCTTAAATATCTGGAGAACAGATATATAACAGGAGAAAATGTTTACCAAAATATGGAACATGTTACTAGATGCACGATGAGTCCTTGGGTGTCCGAAGATTAATGCACTGGTACATGTACTACAAGTTATGAGGAAAATGTATACTCAGTACTCGCATCCAGTTTGTTGTGGATGCGTAGAATGTGACATACATAGGTCGATAGTGCTTTTAATATATTGGTTTTTGACTTTGTAGAAGGATTGTTTTTATGAAATACATTGCAAATACTAGTATGTCGAACAAAACTGCCTTATATTGTCGGTCCCTGAATGTCTATAGTGGGAGGGGGTGTGGTCCTGATCACAAGTATCTTTGAACTTTTTAGATGATAGAACATGTTGCTTAATGACGATGTAGGGAGCTCGGGAAAGGAAATAAGAGGAAAAAAATTCTACTTATCATGTATCTTCCGACTTCGAGCAAATTGTGTTCTTTGTTTGGTTAAAAATCTTCCACTTCCATTGGAAAAAGCCATATTTATAGTCAAACTTAAATACAAACTTCCCGATTGTGTGCGTGTTCATTGCTTACTGAAGTTGATACAGAATATAAAGAAAGAATACAGTAAACATATTTCTTTAAGAAACAAAAATGCTTCAATTTCTCGCACCAGCATGAAGTAAATATTAGCAACAAATGGACCCTGAGTCAGTGTAGGATCTAAAACTCACAGAGGCATATTTGAACTTTCTCAAGAACAATTTGTGAACATTGTATATCGAGCATCTGCATACCCATCCATATGACTAAGGCGAGGGTTGTAGCCTATGGCCTCTTGTTCTGACAAAGTTGATGGGAACTAGGTAAGGCTTCGGTTGGAAGAGATTGGGAAAGGTTATGATTTCGATCTTTTTTTTCTAATGCAGTCAACATTCTTGACTTACAAATATGTTCATAACTGATAATCAGTATAAACACAAAAATCAGCTCGTATCCCTTGCGTGTTGATGAATTTGTTTACATTCAAAGTCGTTTCCAGACAGAGCCCCTGGACTTGTTAATTGACAAACGGGCAATTCTGATAGAAATTATCGGGATTTTTTTCTCATTATTTTGCGATAATGTTTTTTTCTTTCTAACATGAAAAAAGGAATATATGGAAAAAATTGACCACAACGTGTAGACACTTCTCTGAGATTTTCCCTTTTCACACTTATTCATTGACCCTTTTCTCATTATTTCTCATGCCCTCAGAGCGTTACGTAAATACGTAAAACAGGCAAACATGCAATCAAACCATTGATATAGGAATTACATATACGGCGTATGGCTCTTCACACTTGGATCGAATCCACAAGATAGTTCCATCCATGAATATCAACTTTGAAATTACACAAGAGGCATATTTTCCTGTTGAAGCAAGTTTTAGGTGTTCACCGTAATATATGTTATTAAAGAATTATTCATGAATATAAACAAAAGCCCAGCGCTTACCTGAATCACCTTGGCACTGCTACCTTCCGAAAATCGGTTTATAAAAAGATTTTCCTCTATTATTCATGTAAATTTGACCCAATGTTGTAGCCCCACTCTAGCCGGAAGGGCTATTACCAAACTTCAATCAACACTTCATGAGAATTCTAAATACATATATCAGCATATCTAAAGTAGCTGTTCTATAAAAGATTTTCTTATATACCCTGGTACATATATTATGTAAGATCTCATTCTTGATTTAAGCCCCGCCGTTTTTTGTGGCTCTCCAAATTCACAAAAATGAGCTAAACATAGTTCTTAGCTTGCACTTCATAAACATATGCGAAATAATTTCAATATCATTTTGCCAATACTCGTGGATTAAAGGGCTAAATGGGTTTTTTTAATTAATTAATTTGTACTTAAAATATCTCTTGAAAAAATTAAAAACGTTGAAGTGAAACATTTTTGTTAGCTTCACATAACTATGGTTTGCAAGGATGTAACTCTTGGGCAACAACAATTAGGAACATTAACAACATTTGATCATTGTTAAAACTGTTTCTACAAACAAAAATTTGCTTGTAGTGGGACCTTTAGTAACGTCGTAAGTTACAGTAGTGTATGCTTTGTAAACTATAGTTTTACACTTTGTAAACTATAGTTCACACTTTGTAAACTATAGTTTCTAATTAATAAACATAGTTTATCAACAGTAAAACTGTATTTAGCTAATTTTTACGAAATTGGCGTGCTCTAGTTATTTGAACAAACTTGAATCGACGCGATGGGAGACTATTTTGCACGATGAATTAGCATTACATTGGAATGATTGCAGATCAATATGAGTAATTGCTGAACTACTGTTTTAGGAAGATGGTTTTTAAAGATTCCCCCACATGTATTTATATGTGAATCCATTATAAATCCGGGGCCAAGGTTGAATAAAATAACTTATTTTGGCCCAACCCTGCCCCTGGGGCCAAGATTTGAACAAAATCAAATATGCATTACCTGAGGCTGCTTGAATATTTATGACCAATTATGGCCCCGTTGTTCTTGAGAAAATTGATTTTTGAGAAGAACAAAAAATATTAATACATGTATATTTTCCCACGCAGAACTTTGTTCCCCTATCATGGCCCCATCATACTTTCTGAAATTACACTGTCTGAAAGCTTTTACTCAAGTTTCACTTCTGACTGTGTCCCTTTTTAAAAAATAATGTCATCCTATTTTCGTCTTTTCTTGATTATATCTCGTGAACATGGTCCTGATTTGAACAAAATCTTATTCCCTTTCACCTGAAAATAATCTATGCCAAATTTCGTCCAGTGGTTTTGGAGAAGTCAAAAAGATAACAGACGGACGACAAACAAACTTCGATCAGAAAAGGCCATTCGAACGAGAAATGAAAAGCCAAAAACAAAAAAAAATGGTCCCATGTACGTCTGCACAAGGAACACGTACTTCTAATAAAAATATAGTTACTAGTATATAAAATGAAATCGTCATTGGATCTTGATAGCAAAGATTAATAGTCTAATCCAATATACATTAACATTCTGATTGAAATCGTAATTTATCAAGAAGCAATACTTTATCAATTTGTTCTTATGCATTCATAAGAATATACGTATTCATGGATCACAAATACTGAAAGAACTCAAAATGACGACTTTCTCGAAGAAAAAAGATCTGCGTAGCACTTTGAAAGTTTCATGTTGTTCAACGGAAGATCGGATGGCCTATATTTGTATATATCATTGCATCATTGTTTAAAAAAATTTCCTTCGTTGCCTGTATTGTTTGAAGTGAAACTGCAGATATTTTAAAAAGAGGTTTCCATATAACTTAATTGTAAACATTTACGGAATTGCATTTGTAATATTACATGTAGTTGTGAAAGATTTGTTATGAAATTGGATAGCTTAGATCTAGATGTTTACTTGACGATGAATCTATTTTTTCTTCAAAATATTGCTTATCACAAATCAATATGTTTTTTTTTTTTTTACGTATTTCCTCATAGATTTGCGTCATTGTGAGAAATACTAATTTAAAAGTTGTGGAACGCTTGAGCAGCGCAAAAGCTGCTTTATTTTTTAAACAAAATAAATACTTCATATATTTTCAAGGCATTGATGACATTCTTAAAATAACACTAACTGATTATATATGAACTGGTTAGTATTTCAACACTAGGCTTATAAAATCTATTTAGCAGTATTCATCACACAATCATTATGTCAGCTGGTGTACAGCATTAAAAAACTGTTACTGATGTACGCGATCTTCTACAGCATAAGAGATAAAAATATATGAAAAAGCAAGAATCATTTTTCAAAATGATTATGTCATGTTAGAAATTTTGAATTTACTGGGTGGCAGTAAATACAATATTTACAACATGACTACTAGTTGTCATGTTGTAAATTTTGTATTAACAGTCAACTACACGCAGTTGTCATATTGTAAATTTTGTATGAACTGTCACCCGGTAAATTTCAGAATTTACAACATGACAATTATTGTCCAATGTTATGTCCTCATTACTAATTGATTTTTTTTTTTTTTTTTTTTTGCTAAAAGAGATGATCTATAAAAAAAAATCAAAAAACGGTAGCAAGAATTATTTTTCAACTTCCTCTCATTCATAATTACCGTCATGGTTGCTCAGTCGGTAGAGCGCTCGCTCCGTGATCTGAAGGTCGTGTGTTCGAATCAAGGCCGCGACTGACCAAAGTCGATAAAAAGTAGGTAATATAACGTTTCCGGGTTCTTTTATGGGATTCGGCTGTTCTATCTGAACAATTTAAGAATTAATCAATTTTTATGCCCCCGTATCGAAGATTCGGGGGTATATAGTTTTTGCCCTGTTCGTCTGTCTGTTTGTCCCCAAAAACTTTAACATTGGCCATAACTTTTGATTGGTTGGAGGTATGGCTTTCATATTTCAAAAGTATATTCCTTGTCACAAGACCTTTCTTTGGGTACCAACATTCTTGACCTTGACCTTGGAGTTTGACCCAGTTTTGCAAAATTTTTCCCAACTTTAACCTTGGCCATAACTTTTGAACAATTGATGCTAGCGCTTTCATATTTCACATGTGTAATTCTTGTGACAAGACCTTCCTTTGGATACCAACAACTTTGACCCTTTGATCTTGACCTTGGAGTCTGACCTACTTTTGAAAAACTTTAACATTGGCTATAACTTTTGAACGGCTGGTGCTAGGGCTTTCATACTTCACATATGTAATCCTTGTGACAAGACCTTTCTTTGGATACCAACAACTTTGACCTTGACCTTTGACCTACTTTTTAAAAGTTGTTGCTAGGGCTTTGATATTTAACATGTTTTTACCCTTGTGACAAGACCTTCCTTTGGATACCAACAGTTGTAATCCATTGACCCTGACCTTGGAGTTTGCCTACTTTAACCTTGGTCATAACTTTTGAACGATTGGGTCTTCAGATTTCATATTTCACCTGTATATTTCTTGTGAGAAGGCCTTTCCTTAGGCACCATTAATTTTGACCTTGGCCTTGATGTTTGACTTACAATTGAAAAACTTTAAACTTTTCCATATCTATTCAAGGACCTTCCAAGGACTGACGCGCATTGGCTTCTTACCTTTAGCCAAACAAGTGTATAAAGGTACTATATATAATATATATAACCAAAAAAAGTCCCGAAAGCCTATTTCAGGCACGTAAGACTTTATTCAAGGTATCCCTTGCAGTACCTACAACGTTTAGCTCCTCTTTTTTCGACCTTCTTTCTAACCCAGTCGTCAGAAAAAGACTAACTATGCAACCCGATTGTCTCAGTATATATACCCTTCAGGTCACATGACCTGCTAAGGACCGAAGGGAACAACGAAAAGAAACAAGAAGTCATCACAATGTAACTACCGAGAAACGAAGGGATATTTTTGATCTTGATTACAACTCTGCTTCAGGTAGCATCTGTTCCTTCGCTAAGCACTCGGCACTTTGAAATGTTTGTTTGTTCGTTTATTATTGTTTAAGGTCCCTCTCGAGAATTTTTCACTCATATGGAGACGCCACCACTTGCCGGTGGAGAGCTGCAAATTTTGACCTATACTCGGCACTGAGGGCCATTGAGCAGTGAGGGATCTTTTTCGTGCCAGCACCTACTGCGACACGGAACCTCGGTTTATACGATCTCATCCGAAGGACCGGTCTCCACGTCCCACAGTGGGATTCGAACCAGCGACGTAAGGATCAACTCCTTACTGCGCGATTCTAGAGCAAACGCTCTAACCACTGCGCCACGTGAGCGACCACTTCGAAATGAAAGTTGCGGGTCACTCGGATAAGACCTTAAAGACCGAGGAGTGGATATCTTAAAGACTCATGTATCACATAAATCAATCTTATGGTTTACAGAAGTATTCCATCCTTAAGTTTTTGTAACTAAATTCGAGGTTCTCAGAAGTTATCTGAGCTTTCCAAAAACCGTCACGGTAGCTCAATCGGTAGAGCAATCGCTTTGTGATCGGAAGGTCGTGTATTCGAATCGTGGCCGCGACTGGCCTAAGTCGATAAAAAAAATAGGTAGCAACCGTTCCTTCGCCAGGCGCTCGGCATTTGAAGTGAAAGTTGCGGGTCTTTCAGATGAGACCTTAAAAATCGAGGCCCCGTGTCGCGGTAGGCGTTGGCACGATAAAGAACCCTCACTGCTCAATGTCCCTGAAGTAAAGGTCCATATTTGAAGCCCTTCACCGGTATATGGTGACGTCTCTATATATGAATGAAAAAAAATCTCGAAAAGGAGGCAACCACCAAAAATAATTGGAAAAAACTCAAAGATCCCATTTTGAGGTGTGATGTTGGCACTAACCTTTTGAACATTTTTTCTTCAAATGCTGGAATTTGCCATTGTTTGACCTTACAGCAACAAAAAAGTGTGTCCGTGTGTGAGGGTGGGGGCAGCTTGTAAATGAATATCCCCATATTAAAACTACAGCAATAGACTATACTCAGAAAAAAGGGTACGCCACCCATGAACCCCTTGCGTTCTACGGGCCTGTGAAATACCAGCGGTTATCAAATAAAATGAAAGGTTGATTAACCTTCTGATAAGAGAGATAACTCTCAATGGAACAAATCACTATTATTCCTTTATAAAATTTTCAAGGTAGAAGGCCATTTCAGTCAAAATTTTCCCTGCACACTTTTCCCTGCAAAGTATGCTGAAATTGTACGATTTTACATCTTGATAATAAATTTAATTGGGGGGGGGGGGATTAGTGTTAAAGCAAAATTTAAGATGATTGAACAGAGGGATGAAGAATCTTAAGCAGAGCTTTATTTACTTATTATTTATTTACTTATTTACTTGTTCTCCTTATATGTTTGAAATATTTCATGAAAGAATAATAATGTTGTGACACAAAAGTGTCGTTTCATTCCTTGCTCGGCGATTATAAACTGACTCAATTTTTTAAAGAAACTTTTATTCCATACAAGTTTATGAGGACAATCATGGTTTTAAAAAAGTTAGTCGTCCGTCCGTCTCTCTATTTGTTCAAAATGCTACTCTCCTACGACTTTTTCCTGAATACATGGTACACAAGACTAAACTAAAATACCTAATTCTGTATTCGTTTTTTTCTATTTCAACGAACGGTATTGCCATGATTACTTAATGAAAAAGGTGAAGATAACGAAATGATCAATCTAAAAAAAAATATACCACAATACAAATCTGTTAACAGGACATAAAACACGGACCCCCGGTAACTCCAGAGGTGAGATCAGGTGCTTAGGAGTATATCGGCTTGAGCTCTGTGTATTGATAAGAAAGACGGAACATTCCGTAGTCAAATTTAGTATAAAAATGAAAGCCTAACATGTCAGTCAAAATACGACTCACTGGAAAGTTATAGTTTCTAACAAGGTTACTATTACGACCATAGAATCTACGAAATGTTGTCAAGGTTGTTATGCCCGTGGGCACATAGGGCAATGACTAGATTTTTCCACTTCTCTCTATCGAGCATTTTTTTCCAGTTCTCCCCATAGAGTAGGACAGACAGGACGCAGCTGTTATAGATTAGATTCTTATTTTTGTCCTTCTACTTATATCATTTGTTTTCCAGATGCTCTTGAGGCTGATGAAGGCACCCCTAGCTTTACTTAGTCTGGACTTTATATCTTTGTCCGCACCCCATCTGTTGTTACTATGCTGCCAAGATAGGTAAATGTTGTTGTGTTGCTCAGGTTATTTCCATCTACCTGTATTCTTGATGGTTGTTTGTGTTGAATGACATAACTTCAGTTTTCTTGGTATTGATCTTCAGTCCAATTTTTTCTGCATTACTCTTTAATTTTGATGTTTTACTTTGCATATGTTTTTCTAGATGTGAGAGTAGGGCCAAGTCATCTGCGTACTCTAGATCTTCAAGACTGGTAAAAATAGTCCATCTTATTCCTGTGTTGTCGCCACTAAGGGTTGATTTCATTACCCAGTCTATTGCTAGTATAAAAAGGAGAGCTGACATCACACAGCCCTGCCTCACGCCAGATTTTACTATGAAGCATGCCTCTGATGAGCTGCCTATAGAGCAATTAAACTCCAAGTAAGAAGCTATCTTTGATGGCATTCCATAATGCCTTAAGATCTTCCATAACCTTTCTCTGTGGATACTGTCAAAGGCTTTTTCAAAATCTATAAAGTTTATTATAAGCTGCCTTTGCCACTCTGTACATTGCTCTATAATGTTTCTTAGGGTAAACACCTGGTCACAACAGCTTTTTCCTTTCCTAAAACCTGCTTGCTCCTGTCTTATTTTGGCATCAACTGCAGTCTTAATTCTATCGATTATTATTCTGCTGAAAATCTTACTAGGTATTGATAGTAAGGTGATGCCCCTCCAGTTATTGCAGTTAGATTTTTTGGCAGTTTGATGATATTTCCTTTGGACCATGTCGTAGGTATTGTGTTATTATTCCAGATCTTGGTGAATAATGGGAGTAAAATACCTCCTGCTAGGTTTGGATCTGCTTTAAATAACTCTGCTGGCAGTTGGTCATTTTCAGGTGCTTTGTTGTTCTTAAGGAATGTTATTGCTTTGTATATTTCAGCTTTAGATGGTTCCTCTGTTTCAATTTCTAAATCAGTGTCAACTTCCTGTATGTGTGCCAGCTCGTTAGGCTCTGGGCGATTCAATACTTCTTCAAAATGTTCTCTCCATCTTTCATTTTTTTCTCTTTCAGATGTAATAAGGTTGTCTTGCTTGTCTTTCACTGGCATGTTTGTTTTTCTTTTCCTTCCACTCAACTATTTTGTTATTTGATAGAGATCTCCCATTCTTTGTTCAGAAGCAGCTTTCTCGGCTTCTCTTGCCATACCTTCTATAAAGCTTTTACGATCTTTCTTTGTTGCTTTCTTTACATCTCTATTACAGTTGGAATATTGTTCTCTTAGTCTCTCTTTTATTCTTTCCGAGTGGGTGTTACATAACTTAGTTTTAAGGCCTTTCCTTTTATCAATGATTTTCCAAGTATCTGGTGTAATCCATTCCTTATGCACTTGCATGCCTCTTGAACCCTAGAGTCTTCTTGCTTGTTTCACTGAATAAGTTGCAGATTTTACACCAGTGCTCGTCAACCACTTCCTCATTCTCAACATCACCACATTGCAAGACCTGAAATCTGTTCTTGAGCTCTATTCTAAAGTCTGGTCTAACTTTGTTTTCTCTTAGCTTGCCTGTATCTATTCGCCTATTGTTGCTTTTTGGCTCTACTTTCATCAGTTTGAGCTTTATGTTGGCAGTAACAAGGTGGTATCACTTCCAACATCAGCACCACGCTTCACTCCTACATCCTGTAAAGATCTTTTAAATTTACCATTGATAGCAATGTGGTCGATTTGGTTTTTATCTCTCCCTCCAGGTGACATCCATGTAAATTTGTGTATCTCCTTATGCTGGAACAGTGTACCACCAATGGCCATGTTGTTGTTTCCACAGAATTCCATGAAGTATTCGCCATTCTCATTCATATTTCCACAGCCATGCCTCCCCATAACCCTTTCATAACCGACATTATCGCTTCCAACTTTCGCATTAAGATCTCCCATGATGATCGTCAGATCTTGCTTTGGAACTTTTTGAAATTCGGCCTGTAGAGCCCCATAGAATTCCTCTTTAATCTCATCTTCTGCTTCATTTGTAGGGGCATAAACCTGTATTATAGATGTCTGTACAGGTTTTGTTTTCAGTCTTACTCTGATGATTCTTTCATTTACAGGATGGTATTCTACTAATGCTTTTGCTGCTGTTTTACTTAGAATGATTGCTACTCCCTCATGATTTTGATTGTCCCTTCTTCCAGAGTACACAATAACTTCACCAGTACTGGCAATATTCTTCCCACAATATGTCCATCTACACTCACTTATCCCTAGTACATGTAACCTGTTTTCCTTCATCTCTCTCAGAACTTGAGCCTGTTTACCTGTTTCATGCATGAAATCCCTATAAGATCAACTTATCTGCCAGTAGCTGCCTCGGTTTAAAAATTAATCGTACTCAGAGAATGCTGGAGCATGCTCTTGAGTATCGAGTAAGTTGTGATGCATTAACACTATATGCAAGTGATAGCGAAATAGTAATGCATCAATAAGAAAAGTTGACTATGGAAAAGCTGAGGTTATCTAGTTTTCATACAATTTAGTTGTTAGGTGACCCTTATCCTCTGTAGTCAGTAAAACATCCAATATGAAACAGATGTGGCAGACTCTGTGATGTCTTTGATTTCGATTTCACTGGGATATAACGAGCCGACATACGAATGGAAGTTTCTATTGTTAATTGATAAAACGTCTTCGATACATGTATATCTGAATGTCGAGTTGAAGGCCATAGCAAGTGTTTTCTTCTTCTCGGGTAGAAGTTTTCAAATAAATACTGCTTCATAGAATATAAGAAGAGGTCGGCTAATAAAGGAGCACGATTAGTGTCCATAGGTATTCCAACAGTCTAAAGACTACATAGATGTTGTCATTGAGGAACTCCAGCATCCTTTTAATATGAACTTCAGAGTACAATTGTACTTGAATGTAGAATCAGAGTGATTTTAACAAAGTAATTTTGTAGATGACCAATCACAAGATATGAAAATTTCCGAGTTCCATTTTTATTGAAGAAGTAGTTGTCTATAATATCAAAAAGTCTTTATTGTGAGGAATGGTTGTATAAAGTGTCGAAAAGTCGTACGATCTTATGTTACTGACAAAAAACAGAAAATAAATTTCTGAGAAATTCTTTTAAAATGCTACTCTTCCTACGGTTTTGGTCAAATTTCAATAAAACTTGATACTCATGTATACTACTGTAAGATACATAATTCTATTCATCAATTTTTGATTTCGAAGAATAGTACTAGTGTTGCTATGATTACTAAAAAAACAATATGGGAATGCCGAGAAATACATGTAGAATTATGAGTTTTTGTATAGTTCACTAGTTCACATGATTTACATCGTCGCAAACCACGGCCAAAATGTACGATCTTCTCCCATAGGAGAGAGCTATATGAGGACTCCGGACCGTGGCTTGAGACGATGCATGATTTATTGATATCATACCAATATGGTACATGTATGAGGAGTAACATTTTGAGAGCATTCTACACGTTATTCTAAAAGTATTTCTTGAAGCCATTGCAACATTATTCATTAATTAAAAACCGATCGGGGGTGGGGGTGGGGGGTTATAATATGTATATAGTGAAGCAAATAAAAAATGACTTTAGAATTAAAAAAATTAAAAAAATTAAAAACTGATCGGGGGTGGGGGTGGGGGGTTATAATATGTATATAGTGAAGCAAATAAAAAATGACTTTGGACCCCCCCCCCCCGAAAACGCGGACCCACCATGAAATAGGTTTTTTTTCACGTTTAGGAATGGACTAACCCCCCCTTTTTTTTTTTGCTTGTCAAGAAATTTACTGGGTTTGTTACCTTTGGGAAAGTTTTTATTTTTGCTTGTCAACAGATATTCTGGGTTTGAATTTTTTTGGCTGGGGTTCCGGACCCCCCCCCCCCCCCCGGAAAAAATTCCTGGATCTGCGCCTGCTTATATACAGCTTTGTGTACCTTATTGAAGTATACTAAGTTTTATTGAATTTCATAGAAATATCTATATTTAGTAACTATTGCAACACCGATGTTTTCTTAACTAGTAACTCGTTTTGTTGAATCAAATCAAAACTGTAGAATGAAATATAGAGTACAGTAATCAAGTTGAAAAGTCCACTGACACAATACAAATCGGGAGCAGAGCAAATACGGACCTCTAAAAGCATCAGAGGGATCAGGTGCCATGGAGGGGTAAGCATCCCCTGTCGACCGGTCACAACCTCCTTGTGCTCAGGTCATGATCGGGCAAACATGAAAATCCGTTGACAATTCAGAGTGTATAAATATGGGAAGTAATAATATTTTGACAGATTTTTTTTTCTTTTCGACAGATTCGACAGGCGTCAGTCAAAATATCCAGCAAAGTCGAATCTCAATGGAGATTAAATGGAAACAGGCACCCCCTCCCCCTAACTTGTAATAAATTTGGCTGCGTTTTCAAATGACAGTTTCTCCGTGGAATTTAGTTTTGACCAAAGAACATATTAAATTGTTGTGTCTTTTAAATTCCAATAAATGGTATAGAGCAATATGGTATGTAGTATTTTGTCAAGAATGAAAGAAAGAGTCAACCATAACTTACAAAGCTTTATAGAAGACATTTTTTCGGTACAAGTAGATGTGTTTGCTGTTTTACAAATACCATTGTCTTCGAATTTGATGAATTGGGTTGCTTTTAGGAATGACAAATAAAACTATGTGAACTTTTACCAACATTTGAAGCAAATGAATTGAATTGCGATGCATGCGCTTACAGCAGTCATGTGTGAAAAGGACAACTCTGACAATTGTTTTGAGATTTCCATTGTAATACAAATACTGTGTCTTATCTGATGATTTAACATTATTTGGGAGTGGGTGAATTATGCCTTAATTGCAAGACCAAAGATAAATCTATTGTGACAATTTGACAAAATTCACCAGCTAACGTATCGATTGGGTTCAATGGGAAAATAAAAGAGATGATGCAAAATACGAATGAATGCGACGATTTTCACTTATGTGCGTTTTTTCAAAAAAAAAAATTGTGGAAGAAAAGATAAGAATATAAGTAACTTTTCTACTTACCTCGGATATTTTGAATACATGGGGACAGAGTGATGCTTTGAGTGCTATATTTTATCTTCAATCTTCAATGACCAGCATTACGGTTAGCAGGAGGATGAAATGTACGGTCAACTAGGATCTCGGGTCACCCGCAAATAGTTCGTCATTTTGAATAGTAATAAATATTATATGAACTCTTCGGGCATTAAAGGCACAGAAGTAAATTCATCTTTATCAATACGGTAACCGCAGGTCACCTTATATTTTAATTGAATTTTATTTAACAAAGTTTAAAAATCTTACTCAAATATGCAATTAATAACTTTACATGTACATGGCCATAGGAACCGGGGGGCACGGGGGGCCGTGCCCCCCCCCCCAATAATTTTGCCGATATATAGATAACCATAGAAAACATAGATACTATATGCTTGTGCTCCCTCAATAAAAACATCTGACGACCTTTTTTTTTTCTTGTCAAGAAATTTTTGGTAGATGAGAGTGCCCCCTCAACTGAAAATGTATGTAGGAAATTGCTTCCTACGGGCCTGATGTATATACTTTCTGATAGATTAGCACATGCGTGAAAGAAATGTTTTTAACGTTTAAACACAAGACGACAAGTTGTTAATAGGTCAGGCCCATAAGATACTGTTTCGGACGCCCCGTCCCAAACAATTTTGCCAGTATATTCTATAGAAAACAAAGGAAATTCTTTTCTTCCGCCCCTTCAATAATTTTCAAGCACACTAGCCTAGCATTTCACACATTCGTAGATCTGATTTATAAATAAATCTGACTATTTGCAGTTTTTTTTAGAAAGTGTACATTGTGAAATGAGTCGCTTTTTTTTTTTAATTTTCCTTGTTCGTTCAGTATCATCATCAGTCATTTCAGAAACTGGACCTTGCTAAAAGACTTTTCAAAAACAAAGGCAACAAATATGAAAATAAGCATCTGAACATTTTATCATGTGAAGAAAAAATTACTCATTTCACTCTATGCTTTCTTCTTACCTTACATAAACAAAGATTTACAACTTTCGTTCTTTTATAGCATATCACAAATAATGAAATATGAAAATTACGATTACGAAAGTAATCAATTTCGAAGTCCATTGAAACAAAATTAATTCGGAGGAGAGCAAACACGAACCTCCTAAAATCATCAAAGGCGGGAACAGGCGCCAAGGAGGAGCAAGCACCCCCGCCGACCGGCCGGCCACACCCGCCGAGTGCTCATTGTCATGATCGGGCAAATGGAAAAATTCGTTGAGAATTCAGTGTTTAAATAATGGCTTAATAACCAGCACGAAAAACGTCAGTCAGCATTCCACTTAATGATAGATTGTACTTGCTGACAAGATCTTTGTATTGACCGTAGAACCTGCGAAATGATGACCACTAGATTCTTGTCATCCCCGTTTCATCAACCCGCCTGTCAATATTCCGCCTCCTTTCAGAAATTGTTCGCACCTGGATTTTTAAATATCTTGAATTTATTTTCAAAAAAATTTACAACTGATGTTCAACTACAAACATATGCTGAACAATGAAAAAAAAGGTTAAGATACCATACAGGGATCGATCTAAAAAAAAAATCTATTTACAAGGGAAATTTGGGAATAGGGTATAAAACACAGATCCCTAAATTCCAGAGATGATATCAGGTGCATAAGAGTAAGCATACTCTTGCATAAGGAAGGATATACTTCTAATAATGTGTCATATCAATACGGGGACCAGAGATCATCTAGTATGGTATATAAATAAGGAGACAAAAGTGTCCAAAACAGTAACCAGAGGACACCAATGCGGAGACTAGATTAGGTGACCTCTGATTTCTCTACGCAATGATGTACAATATAAGGTGACTTCTGGTCTCCCTAATAATGTACAATATAAGGTGACTTCTGGTCTCCCTAATAATGTACAATATAAGGTGATCTCTGGTCTCCCTAATAATGTACAATATAAGGTGACTTCTGGTCTCCCTAATAATGTACAATATAAGGTGACTTCTGGTCTCCCTAAAAATGTACAATATAAGGTGGCCTCTGGTCTCCGTATTAATATATACAACTTTATGTGACTTCTGGTTTCTCTAATGATGTACAATATGGAATGACCTCTGAACTTCGTATTCATATACAATTTTATGTGACCTCTGGTCTCCCTAATAATATAAAATATGCAGTGACCTCTGGTCTCCTTAATAATGTAAAATATAAGGTGACCTCTGGTCTTCCCAATAATATAAAATATAAGGTGACCTCTGGTTTCCCCAATAATGTACAATATAAGGTGACCTCTGGACTCCGTATTCATATACAACTTTATTTGACCTCTGGTCTCTCTAATACAATATAAGGTGACTTCTGGTCTCCGTATTCATATACAACTTTTGGTTTTTTACAACTCATTTACAGCATTAGGAGACCAGGGTCACATAAAGTTGTAGATAAATACGGAGACCAGAGGTTACCCCATATTGTACATCATAAGAGAGTGCAGGGGTCACACAAAGTGGTATATGAATGCGGAGACTAGAGGTCATCTTATATTGTGCGTCATTAGGGAGATCAGAGGACAGATAAAGTTGAATATTAATTTGGAGAATAGAGTTCATTCTAAATTGTACATCTTTACTGATACCAGAGTTCACATAAAGTTGTATATGGAGACCAAATGTCACCATATATTGTACATCGTTAGGGAGACCAGATGTCACCTTAACTTGTACATTATTTGGGAGATCAGAGGTCACCCCATATTGTACTTCATTAGAGAAACCAGAAGTCACATAAAGTTGTATATGAATACGGAGACCAGAGGTCACCTTATATTGTACATTATTAGGGAGACTAGAGGTCACCTTATGTTGTATGAAAATGCGGAGTACAGAGGTCACCTTATATTGTACATTATTTGGGAGACCAGATGTCACCTTAAGCTATAGGTCATTAGGGAGACCAATTTAAGGTCACCTAATGTTGTAAGGAGGTAATATGTTAAAAAGTGTGGCATATGAAGAATTATTTTCCAAGCACAGACTCTGATTTTAATGAAAAGAAAAAACAAAAAATGTACACAATTTCTCCATATTCACTAAATTTATTTCGTCGGAATGAGAGTGTGTGTTTGGACAATTTGCTTGTCTTCATAAACATGTATATGATTCTAAGAAGCAATTCGCAAGGGGTTCCTGTTTTCTATAAGTCTAATGTTGGCAAGTTTATTTTTGGTTACTTTTGTAACCATTTACAAATCTAGCGGGGGTGGTGATTGGAGTTCAGCATCCCCCTTCCATTAAATTTTCACTCATCAAATACGAGGGGAACACTTGTCTTGTAATGACAATAAGGAGGCCAGAGGAATAGCTAGAGTGTTATATTGATAAGGTCGTCTATTGTAGTATGATATATTATTTGGGAGACCATAGGTCACCTAACGTAATTTATTACCAAATCATTACTGTATACAGGGAAATTTTCGCCCCCGATTTATTTTCGCACCTTTCGCCCTAATTGCAGGTGGCCGAATTTATTAAAGCGGGGCGAATTCAAAGAACACAAAGTAATTTCTCAAAACTTATGACTGGGCAATATTGATTTAAATTATGATGTAGGCAATAGAAAATGACACCACTGTATATCTGAGGAGATCATCGAGGGCTGGAAGAAATTATTGTTTTGAAACCAAAGTTTGCACAAATGTATTGCAATGCCAATTTACTAAAAAGACAAGAACTTGTGCATTGAGAAAAATGGAAAAGCATGAAAACAAACCATTTAATAGAAGTTTATATAAACATTAGATAAAAAGTATTAATCTCCCATCCCCGAAAAATACTAGGATAGTCCCTGTGCTTTCAGCACGAAGATGTCCAGAATTCCTTTATCTGCAGGTTATTCATTTTTTCTGTCACCCTGTATTCCTGATTTTAAGTGAAATAGTGAACACACATTTAATAAATAAAAAATATATTTTTATTCTCTCAAAGATGCTAAATTTAAATTCCACTTCAACATTCATAGAATTTAGGCTTGCTCGTTGATTTCTCTCCGAATATTTTACGTCTCGTTCTTTAGATTAACCCTAACAACATTATTTACTTCCGGTTACGACGACCAACAAGTGAAAGAGTCAAAAGAACAAGAGAAAAGCTTTTAACTTGATGTTACCTTTTACTTTTTAAAAAGATGACGATTTGTGGACTTGCAAACATTGAAATTGATTGTGATAACAAAGAAATATCTGTGTTTTGTAAACATGAATTACCAAACACAGGATCTAAGATCATTGGAGCAGTTTCTGTGCTTTTTGTTCAACAACCTGTTTCAGCTACGTTACGCAAAAATACTCAAAATGCCCAGCAAAGTAAGATTCTTGTATTAATTTCTTTTTTTCTTTTTTCTCCTTTTTTTAAATTAAAAGATAAAGAATAACCAAGTATATGATTTTTTTTTTACTCGTAATTCCCTTTTCACCATGTTCACCAGTGATCACTACAATGACCATGATGTTTACAATAACAGTGTGATCGCCATATGTTGTATGCAAAAATCATCACAATGTATAAAAAAAAAATCATTTTTAATTTGCAGGATCTTTCCAAACAGGAAACTGCGAAGAAATTCATGGATCAACAGGTGATACCAATAAATTAAAAACATTAGATCAAAGTCTTAAGTTGGAAGTGCCATCATCATTGTCAGTTATCAATCTTCCATTTGGAGAATCACTGGAAAAGCATTTCTCCCAGACTTTACTACAGAATCCTGAACAAAATGTAGAACAACGGAGCAGTTTGAAAAAGGAGTATCAGCAGAAAAGTAGCAGCAAAGAGAATAATCCAAAGGAAGAAACTATCACAGCTCAAAAAGTTGTAGTTGATCTGAGTGGGGAAATGAACCTTCCAGAAACTGTCAAAAATACCAGTCAAAGTGGTACAGAGACTTCAGTTCAGAAACATACAAAATTAAAATTACCAACAAGCTCTAGCTCTACACCCAGTATTCATTCCATTCGTACAAAACCATTCCACACCCAGAGACCATTGAAAATGCCAAGTAGTTCACAGCATAGTTCAAAAATGATTGCTTTGTCTCGTCCACCTGTTCATCCTGAAAGATTTCAAGCAAACAACCGTGAGTCAAGTTTAATTCACAATATGCCTAGGCCATCTCAACAGAGAAACTCAAGGTCAATCATTCCGAGGCGCAGAGGATTTGATTTGCATTGTTTTGTGTGCCATCAAGTTCTAGAAACTTACAGACAAGTTGGAGAACACTGTAATTTACACAATTTGAAACAACAGTGTCCAGTATGTAGAGCAAAATTTTCTGCCACCTCAAATATGAAGAGACATTGCCTTGGACATTTCAGTCATGCATGCTTTCCATGTTCATTCTGTAAGGCTACTTTTAGAAGAAAAGATAATCTTCGAACGCACATGCTTAGACATTTGCATAAAAACAACAAAAGTAAATGCACTGAAAATACTGGGAATAAATCAAATCACACTGAAAAGTCAAATTCATTTGCAAACAGAGATTGTGTAAATGAATTGCCAGGGATACAGATTGGTGATGAAGTGGAAAGAGTAGAGAGTTGTGAGCATGGAGAAAATGCTGAATTTGTAAACTTGCCAATCAAACAAGAAAATGAAGAGGTGAGGGTGTTAGGTTTAATGGAAGCAACAGAAACAAATGAAAATCCTAACAAAGTTATACAAGAACAATGTACTGCTTCAAAAAATGCAAATCAGTATATTGAAAATGAAAATCAGGGAAAGGAGGAAAGAATAGTCAGCTATAACTGCAGTTCTTGTGGGATGAAATTCTCTGATTTACATAGTGTAAGAAAACATGTGATTAGGCACCATGCTGAGCAGGTCAGTCAGTTTTCAACTATTGAAGATGATAGCAGCATGTACTTGTCTCATGACCAATCTGAAAGGTACCAAGCACCAGAAGTAGATCACAGCATTACTGGTGAGCATGCTTTGTCCAGAGAAACTGATAGTGCAAAAGATAATAACCTGATAATGTCAGGCAACAAGATTTCTTTCTCAAACCAAGATTACAATCAAAGCGATGTTATTGACATTGAAAATTTAAGCCAGGTGTCAAATGGTGACACAAGTCACAGCTCAGTTTCTTTGGAGCAAGCCTCATTCTCAGGAGCAAACCATGAAATACCTTCATCTAGTACTCCCCAATCTTCTGGTCATTCAAAGGGTGGCATGCTAGGGTCACCTACACTGATGTGCAGTATCTGTCAGCAGTACCTGCTAACTGGAGAGGCTCTTGTAGAACATCAGTCTTTGCATACTAATGTGATGGGAAGGGGACTTTGGTGTGTTGTTTGTGGCACACGTTTCAGTTCCAAGGACTGTTTACGTCGTCATATTAACAATCACTTGGGCACTCGCTTTAAATGTCCACTGTGTTCAAGTGTTTATAGCCGAAAAGACAATTTGAAAAAACATGTGAAAGATGTTCATCATTATCACTATGACAAAAATGGGATTGTAAGACCATTAATATAATTTCAAGAGTGAAGTATTGCTGTGTTCATATATTTGAATATCAACACCATGCATGCAAGTGCAACTCATCCACTCTGACTCTTTATCTCATAATCCCAAATAGATTGTGAAGAAAAGGAGAGAATCAAATTTAAAAGAAAAAAATACTTGGCCAGTGACAGGAGTTTTATTTTTTACTGTATACAGGTAAAGTTTAGCCCCCTCCCCCTTCCCATTTTATTTTCACCCCTTTCACCCTCGTCGCTTATAGCCGAATTTAAAATGGGGCAAATTCCAAGTAAACAACATTATCTCTTAAATATGTCAGTGTCTGGGCAAATTTAAAACGGGGCAAAATTGTTTGAAAGTGTAAGATGTAAAAGGGCAAAAGTTACACGGGGCGAAAGTAACCCTGTATACAGTATATCATGGGTAATTTGTAAAGCTTGAATTTTTTCAATCTTGCACTTTTCAAGTTCATTATTTTCACTGAATAGATGTATAAAAATATATTTTTATTTTCATTATTATAATATTTTTTTAGCTCACCTGAGCCGAAGGCTCAAGTGAGCTTTTCTGATCGAAATTTGACCATTGTCTGTCGTCGTTGTTGTTGTTGTCGTAAACTTTTCACATCTTCATCTTCTTCTCCAGAACTACTGGGCCAATTTCAATCAAACTTGGCACAAAGTATCCTTCTTCAAATGGAGGGCTACGCCCTCCTCCAAGGGGAGATAATTACGAAATAGCAAAAAATTAATGGCATTATTGAAAAATCTTCTTCTCAAGAACCAGTGGGCCAGGAAAGATGAAACTCATGTGGAATTATTGTCAGGTAGTGTAGATTCAAGTTTGTTCAAATCATGACCCCCGGGGGGCAGGGTGGGGCCACAATGGACAATCAAAGTTTTACATAGGAATATATAGGAAAAATCTTCAAAAATCATCTTCTCAAGAACAGCAAAGCTATGATTGGTCATATTTATTTGGTAGCATCCTCAGGTGATGTAGATTCAAGTTTGTTCAAATCATGACCCCCGGGGTAGGGTGGGGCCACAATGGACGATCAAAGTTTTACATAAAAATATGTAGGAAAAATCTTCAAAAATCTTCTCCTCAAGAACAGTAAAGCTACATTTATGATAGGTCATATTTATATGGAAGTATCCTCAGGTGATGTAGATTCAAGTTTGTTCAAATCATGACCCCCGGGGGGAGGGTGGGGCCACAATGAGCGATCAAAGTTTTACATAGGAATATATAGGAAAAATCCTTAAAAATCTTCTCAAGAACAGCAAAGCCACTGTTTGTCATATTTATATGGAAGCATCCTCAGATAGTATAGATTCAAGTTTGTTCAAATCGTGACCTCCAGGGGTAGAGTGGGGCCACAATGAAAGTTTAAACTTGTAGAGAAAAAAAGTCACAGTTAGTCAAAAAATTATGTAAGCATCCTTAGTTAGTGTAGATTTAATTTTGTTCAAATCATACCCCCACTCCCTTTTAGGGGTAGGTTAGGACCACTTATGCATTTAAGCTTTTCAATACTAAACTGATTTTTCCTTTTTTCCTCACCACAGTGCTCAGGTGAGTAATGTGGCCCCTGGACCTCTTGTTATGTTTTACTATAGTTTGAATATTTACTTTGAAAGTAGCAATTTAATGCAACCTCACCTGAACAGTAAGCCTGTTCATTTTTAACTGATCAACTGATCAAGGCAAAGATATGGTATGCTTTATTTTTTTTTTCAAGTTAGACAATATTGAGTAGGATCATAACTCATTATTACAAGTACATGTATATGTTTTGATTATATATTTTGTTTATGTTATACAATGTATTTTATAGCATTCAACCCAGGGCTATTTTTTTGTGTCGCCTGCAGAGCAGAGCGGCACTGAGGGATCACTTTATCTGGCATCTGTCTGTCTGTCTGTCCGTCTGTCACATCCTATATCTCGAGAACTGTAAGTAGGTATGGATTTGATATCTTGCGCATATGTTGCTTGGCACTATGGCTTTTGTAAATTACCATGGTTACCCATCTTGTGACCTTGGCCTTGACCTTTGACCTACTTCTCAAAATAGTTCATAGTGCTGATATACAGAATATTTTTTTTAGATTTAAGAGGTAAGTCTATGCAATTTAGCATATACACTGTTTGTCATAATACATTATGAAAAATATGAGCATTACAATCCACTTTACCTTTGACCTACTTTACAAAAAATACCCTGGGCAGTTTAATGTAACTTCTGACTTTTGAATTTTGAATTCCAAAATGGATCATGTAGACTGACAATTGCAGTAAAGAAAGGCTGAAATCTCTTCTGGAGGATTGTTGGAAACATGTATAAATAAAATGATGAATAGTTATTTCTAATAATTTCAATTTAATTATTCATTTGAGGGTTAGGGAACCACTTTTTTCTGATTCTGTAGCAGTCTTGTATACTATTCATGGATGCCATTTTTTTCTTTGCAGGCAAATGCATAAACTATCATGCTAATAGTAAATAAAAGACTGACCACTTTTAGATTTATTTACATCTTTAATGAAGCCACAAAGCAGGCAACACGTGTGTTCCTTGGAACACTAGTTTTTTTTGACTAATTCTTGTTTTAAGAAAATACTTTTCCTTGTTAAATAATTATTTATGATAACTTTTTATGATCATTTTCAATAAATTATATACAAAATCACTGTTTACTAAATATCTTATTGCTCTGTACTTCTGATATTTTTGAGAATTGATTTATTTTCCTGTCATTTCTATGAGGAGTGGATCTTAACACCCTTTAATTGGTACCTTAATTTGGTGTGTAATGTGTTTTATATATATATATATATATATATATATATATATATATATATATATATATATATATATATATATATATATATATATATATATATATATATCATACATGTGATATGTACCGGCTGTACGCAAAATGTACAGTTTTTCGAGCCCATTCATCGTGTACCGGCGGGACACCAAAATTCACGGAATATGAAAATTTGTACAGTATTTTGAATTTCTCGCTAAATGCCGCCATTTTCCTCTCATTCTCGCTCGCGAGACACTGGAAACGTCACCTGTGTTGACACTTGACCTTCTGATAATAGTGTAGTGTACACAAACCATCGCGTGCGAAGGTGTGAACTGTCAATTGGGATAATTATCTTGCTATAAATTCGTATCAAATACCCCTTTAGGTAGCTTTATTTTTTAAGGGGTACTTAATTACTGTTAATGTTTCGTATACGTAACTTGATTGAAAAAAATTAAGTCAACTTCTAAAGTTGATATACATGACTTAATATACGGACCAAGATCTTCGTAGGTATAAAATATACGATGTTTATTACGATGGAATTTCAGAAGAATTTAAGCGATATTTTATACCATTTTTTGTACCGTTTTTTGATAGGCAGTGTACAATTTTTTCACCCAAATTCCAGTTTTTTTTATGGCTCCTGTACAGTTTTGTGGTCTTTGACTTATCACATGTATGTATATATATATATATATATATATATATATATATATATATATATATATATATATATATATATATATATATGCCTAACTGGTAATGGTGATAAGTATTTGTTTAATTCTCTTAAAAAATAAATTTTATATTGTTTATTGTTGCTTTCTTTCTTTTTTTTTTTTTTTGAAGGGGGGAGGGGGGATTTGTAAAAATGATATGTGATTCACATGGTCTCGAGACAATCTGATCAAGATACCCGATTTTGCTCATATTGTCTCAGGATTAATTCGGAATAAGTTCGGGTGTTACGGTGGGTTCTGTATTTAGTTGGACATGGTGTGAATCCGGTTTAAGAAAATGTCTCGCCGACAACACGATGTGTGTAGATTCCTTTTGTTTCAGCACTTTGGGAAACAGACATCTGTTGTTGGTAGATATCTACTTCAAAGATCGTCATGTTCTCTTCCATTAATATCGTCAGAAACAAGTATAGAACCAGAACAGGTAAGAAACAAAACTGGATAGGTAGAAGCTATTTTACAGAATTATTGCATCAATCCAAAGACTATTTCTACCTACGTAGCTATTAATAGCTACCTAGGTATTTAAACCTACCCAAAGTAGCTATTTTTACCTACTTTTTGCATTACTTGCATTTTGTTGCCAAATGGCCGAACGGCGCAACATGAGTACCACATTTCTTGATACAGTCACACTGATGATGAATACGACAAAATTTTGGCCAAAAAATGATTACTTCATAAATTAACAATTTCGCATAGTAATTAATTTCTTAGACTGTTTTTGATGTTGAGCAGATTGAGCTCAAAAGCCATACTAGGGACCATCCAGTCTGATACACCTACTCGAATTTATGCAACCAAAGGTGTCAGTTGATGCATCTGTAAAAGAAAATAGCAATATAATAATTTCTTTGAAAATACTCACAATTACTAATAACTTGAAAATAAAATTGCATCAACCACAGGTACTTGGGTCCTGGTTTATAAATATGTATGTACCTTATTGATATGTAAAAAAAAAAACAAAAAAAAAAAACAAAACTTGATAGCTGTAGCGGATGAATTTCTAAAGAAAGCTGTGCATCCAATAACAATTACATTAATTACTTTTTGGATGTTTTTAAGTGTAGGATTCATTATAGAGAAAATCGAAACACCAATTGCTGTTATTGGTGTAACCGATCACATTTTGTGGTGTATGTGTATAGGAAATGCATATAAATACGTGTAGTAAAACTTGTATAATCAGGACACCACTGGTTCCAAAGAAATTGGCGGGATTAGACAACAATCTGGTTTACACAACATTTTAACAAATGAATTTAAAGTTTACATCGTTTTTAGACAAGATTTGTGAATACACAACATTTGGATTAAACAAGTTTCACTGTAGTATTAAATACGTTTATGGACAAACATTTTCAACATTCAGTTGGCTTAAAACAGGCGGGTTCATTAGAAACTACCCACACTATGCTTCATCAGACATTCCTGAAAATGAGGGGAGTATGCATGTGTTTAACGGAATATTGAATACAATCATTATTTACTTTTATAAATTGCACTTCTGTAAATAAATGATTAATGAAATTCTAATTTCTATTTGAAGTATGAAGGTAAAATAATTTTGTAAACCATTTCTTATATTTGAAAACTACATGATAAAGCCACTATATGTATTTTATTTTCTAGCACACATATTTTATTTAACAGAACTTAATAGCTTACATCTTATGTCAGTTTACAACATTTATTGCACTCTTTAGTTTACTTTCTACAGCTTGAGTATTTCTGACATTTTGTCAGTGTATACTTGAATGTTTCGTTTTGTTATTAATAGATATTTAATTATTAGATTTGATTTTTATGCCTCCGGATCGAAAGATCCCGGGGTTATATTGTTTTTGTCCTGTCTGTCTGTTGTCAACTTTAACCTAGCCCATAACTATTGCGCTGTCAAGGGTAAGGCTTTAATATTTGACATGAGTGTTCATTATGACAAGACCTTTCCATTGGTACAGAAATTTTTTATCATGTGACCTCAACTGTGACCTTTGACCTACATTTGAAAAACTTTAACATTGGCCATAACTATTGCACTGTAGTCTAAGTCCCACTCCAGAATTGTGTTATCATCGGGGGCATAGTGTTTCACAAACACATTTTGTCAATCATGTGCCCATAATGGCCAAAAAAACCCACCTATATATCTACTATACAGTCAACTACAAAAATATTAGGTCATTTTAGCGGAAAGAAAGATACTTTTAATGATGACCTCAATTCTTGGAAATGATGATAATGACAATAAACTCAGTTTGCAAGTTGTTACAATCTTCTTTATTTTAGGTGAAGAAGATTTTGTGCATTTTAATTCAACAAAACATAGTGACATTTGAGCAACACAAAAGAGGTTATATTGAGTATTCAATCAAAGAAGAAGAGATACTGAATCGCTTACGAATTCCAAAGTACATATACTGTGCCAAGACTTTGTATGGAGATGCTGCTGAGCTTTTACTTGAGGAGGTTTTACAAAGAGGACAAGTTCAAATGTCAAAGGTCATTCAGATAGTAATGCAAAGATTTAATGAGGCACTAGAAACTTCAGGTACATGTAATTACTTAACTTGTAAGCTCATTACAGAGGAAAAGTTTTTTATTTTTTATTTTTTTATTTCATAATATTTAAAGTAAAGAAATGTAATATATGATAATTATTTACATGTATTTTAAATGTGTGAATAAAAATGTAATTAAGTAATTTTTATTAAGGTATTTATTTAAGTTTTCTTAATGTTCAGTATTCATAAGATATTTTTAACCTACATTAATATCAGTTGTGCCTGTACGTGTATTGATCTATTAATTCATAATACATGTTTCCGGTACATGTATATAACATTAAAAAGCAGTTGGTTTGGTCAGAAAATTGTCAAGTGTAATTGACCTAACTTCATAATCTCTTATTAATACTGTAATATATTTTTTTCAGGGAAAACAAAAATATCAGAGAGCTTTGTATCTGAAAAGTTTTCCAGCTTAGTGAAGACACATTTCCTACAAAGATGTTTAGATCCAGTGAAGTCTGAGTCCAGTAAAGTAGTAGGACTGGAAGCAGGGGTAGAGGAGGAGACATTGTATACATTACCAGGTATGAGGGCTTTTTAGCTCACCTGAGCCAAGGCTCAAATGATCTTTCTGATTGACATTTGTCCATTATCCATCCATCGGGTTTAACTTTTCTTATTTTGACTTCTTGACAAGAACCAGTTGAGTGATTTAGCCAAACTTAATATGGAAAATTCTTGTGTGAAGGGGATTGAAGTTTATAAAAAGGAAGGGCAATGCCCCATTCAAAAGGGAAATTTCAACAAAAGACAAAAAAAGGGTGGGATTATTTAAAAATATTTGTTTATAAAAGCACTTGAGTCCTGTAGACAATTATGAATGGTTTAAAATAATGAATTTATAGCTCGTACAGCTTGTGAATTATCAGACATGAAGCAGTGAAAACTTTTGAAATGTAGTTATTGCGAAAATAAACTTGTACATTTACAGTATATACATGTAGTAAATCTAAGGAAAAAAAATTGGAGAATGGCAGGCCATACAAAACCATATTGATATGCAAATATTGTGGATTCAGGAGTGTTCAAATTATGAATGCTGGCCCCGGGGCCATAAAACTTAGTCGAGCTCACTTTTGATCCCCAATTTTAGCCCCATCATAACCCCACTCACTTTTTATCTCAATCTCACTTTTACCAAAGGAATTAATAGTGGAAAAACTCACTTTTCCATTATTAATTCCTTTGGTAAAAGTGAGACTGAGATAAAAAGTGAGCTTGTCTATTTTTTATGGCCCCGGAGCCTGGGGTTGGAATGGGGCTAAAATTGGGGATCAAAAGTGAGCTCGTCTAAGTTTTATGGCCCTGGAGCCTGGAGTTAGGATGGGGCTAAAATTGGGGAGCAATATATAGAGGGGAAAACCTCCTCCATAACAGCAAGGTCACATTAGTACAATTCTCTTTTCTGCTTGAACATTCAGTAAGGCGTGACATTCTCGGTAATACATCATTAGCATCTCGCAAATGGTGACCTAGATTCTCATTGGTGGCCAGATTAGCTCATCAATACTGAAATTTACACAGCTTTTCATTTACGGGTGAAATATACATGGGATTAAAAGTGGCCAGCTGTTTCCATGTTTACTATGTACCTTACCTGTTATACAGTTGCTGTCAATACACGCACTGCCAAAAACACTCTTAATTACTGTAGTTGTGATGTGTAAGCAAATGCTTCATTAAGAAGGTCAGTTTCAAAAAAGTTTGTAACGTTTGGATGCCATTCTACCAAACTTTATGTCATAGCGTGCAGTCATAACATATTACATAATCTTGGTCTTTGTGATGCTTTACACAGTTTATTTTAGACTTTGTCAGTTTAAACATTTTGTTAATAGGGAATCTTAAAAAAAGTAACTTGATCCCAATAATAAAATATGGGCAATTATTGGCCAAAATTTTCTCAGTCACCAAAATACGAATTACTTTAAACTTTTATTTAAATTCATTTTTTGGTTGCAAATGTGACCATTTTAGACGCAACTTGCATTGGAGCACTGCTCAGGTGAGTGTTGTGACCCTTTGGCCTCAAGTTGGTTTCTTCTTTAATTCTTTTAAGGATAAACATTTTAGTTTTAACAGTTTCTTTTATTTTTTTTTATTGTTCTATTCATAGATCTGTCTAGAAAGAGGAAGAGATCACCGGAGGGGGGTCCACCTGCAAAACGGCCAAAGTCTGAAGACGAGGTGAATCAAAGTTGATGTGTATAAAAATAACTACTAGAGAAGACAACCTGATAAAATTGTGCATTGTGTGTCCCCCATCATATGCTGGTCATAAAATTTTGATTTTTTGTTTTTAGCTTCTTCTCTAAAATTGCATTCTTTTCCACCAAAGGCACTAAATAGAATACACAGCCAAATAAATTACATTTAATGTATTCTTATAAAATCTAGCAGGCAAGTTTGCTTGCTTAAACCTAAAAAGTACTCAACCTTTAACCAAAATTGTGAAATTCACTGCCACTGGTCCATGATTCAGGCCTTGGGGTTGGGCTTAGTTGGACGAAATTTGTGGGGAAATAGAGTCCTTCACCAGATTTCTCGTATTAAATAGGTATTCAGTTTTTGAGGTAGGATTTCTTGTGCAATGTTTGTCATACTGGGATTATGTAGACTCTAATAAAACTTCATAATCTATGGAAAATTATTGACACGTCTCTTAAATTATTTTCTAAAAATTATCGTCTCTCTGTCTAGTCAAAATAAGTTGTGAAGCAATCCGTTTATAATTTACCAAATTATAACCAATTAATTATATCAACACTCGAATGCTCACAGGTATAGTGTCATCTATGTAAATACCCAATTAACACCTCCATGCCAGCCCCAGGCGGTCACCGTTATCCAGGTAAGTCCAAGCTGCATTAATTTTACGTTTGATTGGCGTGTACACATGCTGAATCATAACTTCGAGAGATAGAGAGTCAAAACCAATGAAATGTGTGTAACGGGACCCAGGTTTTGGTTCGAGAGATAGAGAACTTCGAGAGATCGGAAGTTCGAGAGATAAGAAGTAAATTTACTTAGTTATATAGAAGAAAAAAACGGGACTGGAGGTTCACTTCGAGAGATCGGAGTTCGAGCCATGGAGAGTCGTCTGTATCAAGTATGTTTCAATAATCTGTATGCTTCATTAATCCGGACAATTTGCTTTGATCCAGAACACAAGCTTCAAGATTAACAAGGCATAGCTTTCTTTAAAACATCTTTTTACCTCATGTGCAATTAGCAGGCATTTCAGTTTCCATGATTACATCATTCACTTAGCCCACTACCAAAATTGTGAAATTGATGGCCCATGGATAAATTAGTACCATTTTGAAAATATGTTGCATCTTTGAAAATTTTTTTCATAACATGCAGAATTTAATGGAACTATCTTTAAAAATTGTCTCCTTAAGAATAGCAGGACATCAATTAGTGTATGTTCAAGCTTGTAAAACTGATGCCCAGGCCTAGGGTTGGGCTACATCTGAGAGTCAAATTTTTATTACAGTATATGCAGGAAAAATTTTAGGAGTTCAAGTCCATAATAAGTTATATTTAAAATATGCAAGAATCTTTATGTTGTGTGGATTTAAATTTGTTCAAAATATGGCCCCTGGGATAAGGGTTGGGCAAAAATAGGGATCAAAATTTATTATCATAAATTAGGAAAAAAATCTTTTAAAAAAAACGAGAGAGAGAGAGAGAAAGAACAAGATACTTTAAAAGCAACCCCATCTAAAGTTGATTTAAGTTTGGTTGTCATGAGTCCACTGAGCTAGGGTTGGGGAGCAATAGAGGGTCAGAATTTTACCTGTGAACATACTGTATGTATACTTAAAAAAGCGGGCTTCATATTTTAGCGGCTTTGGCGCGGACAAGGATGCACTAATTCATGAATACAGTTAAAAATCATAACTGAATACAATACATGGCAGAAGCATATGTAGCGCTAATTCATGATTACGCCAACCACTCCATACCCAGTGATTGCGCTAAATTTTGAATACACCAATTTATGTACACGTACAGTATCGTGGAAAAATCTTTAAAACTCTTATGTCCCATGGACATTGGGTACTGAAGCAGAGAAGTTAATTTATACTGCAATTCCTGTTGCAACACTTGTATGATAAATTTTGGCATTTGGCAGTGGCTGTTCTTTCCATCATCTTAAACAACCATTACTTTATCACAAAAAATCGACATTCATGTTGAATCCGCATAACATAAACGATTCTGATATATTTTTGAAATTTGAGAACATTTCCAATTTTATATACAATGGGGGCTTTAGCAATTTGTGGTAGTGATATGTCATTGATTTTTTTCCAGATACTCAAGAAATTCTGATAATGCATATAGATAATCACTGTTTATGGTTATAGTACAATGAACCTCTAGAAACAAATATGCATTATCTAATTCTGATAATACATTTGAATTCTCCAGTTGCTGCTATTTTTTTATTACGAATTTACTCCAAAATGCATTAAGAACTAGATTCTGAGAGCCTTACAATTCGAAAAAATTAATAAGTCATAAATTGCTTAAAAAAAAGCACTGAAATTATTTTATTGAGAATTTTAATATGCTTTTTATGTAAATCATTAATTTAGGTACATCATGAGCTACATATACTTAATTTTCAGATTGGGTCACCTGACCCCGTCTATTAGTTTACTGTCAGTCGAGGCCTCAAAATGGAAGCCATGCGTATACCATATGAATTGAATCAAACGAAAGAGTGCAGAAATTGTTTTGAACAAAATGTAAACATGCTGGATCAAACTTAAGAGAATAATATGAAGATTTTCTTACACAAATTATAGAGGTATTTTGAAAAATTTTTAAGTGAAAAACAACATTGAACCACAGTAGTATACAAACTACTCTACTGTGTAATATAAGACTGTGTAAGCGTCATCGATTGTTTATTTCCAGAAACGTCATGTTAATTCAGACCCTGTAAATTCGGACAGTTGAAAAAGGGTTCTTGGCTAGTGATGACTGATTTTTCTATAATTACAGAATGAATGAAAAAGATGAAGATAAGATTTGTTTTTTTATAAATTTTTTTTGAATTTTATGTTAATATTTAATGTCTAAAATATTTTAACTATTTTAAGTATCAAAATCCTATAAAAATTTTCACTAGTACTGAAATTTGTAAAATCATGAAATTTATTATTTTGACCCTGTCTTTCAGTACTGTATCAGTACTTTGATTTATGTCCATGCCATGAAATGGCCAGAGCATATAGAGTTACCCACTTCTGTAAATCATTCCATCACTCCGTCATTGTCATTCCATCATAGTTTGTTTCTGATTTTTTAGCTCACCTGAGCGGAAGATTCAAGTTAGCTTTTCTGATCGAAATGTCCATTGTCTGTAGTTGTCGTCGGCTTTGTCTTCATTGTAAACGTTTCACATTTTTATGCCACAGAATCGAAAGATCCTGGGGGTATATTGTTTTTGTCCTGTCAGTCTGTCTGTCTGTTTGTTCATTTGTCTGTTTGTCTGTCTGTCTGTTGTTAACTTTAACCTTGCCCTTAACTTTTGATTGGTTGGAGCCATAACTTTCATATTTCACATGTGTATTCCTCGTGACAAGACCTTTCTTTGGATACCATCATATTTGACCTTTTGACCTTAACCTTGGAGTTTGACCCACTTTTGCAAAATTTTATGAGACTTTAACCTTGGCCATAACTTCTGAACAGTTGGTGCTTAGGATTTCAAACTTCACCTGTGTATTCCTTGTGACCAGGCCTTCCTTTGGATACCAACAACTTTGACCTTTTGACCTTGACCTTGGAGTTTGACCTACTTTTGAAAAACTTTAAACTTGCCCTTAACTTTTGAACAGTTGTTGCTTGGGGTTTCAAACTTCACATGTATATTCCTTGTGACAAGACCTTTCTCTGGATATCAACCTCTTTGACCCTTTGTCCATGACCTAGGAGTTTGATCTACTTTTGAAAAACTTTAACCTTGGCCATAACTTTTGACCGGTTGGAGCTAGGGCTTTCATACTTCACATATGAACAGTTGCAGCTAGGGCTTTCAAATTTCACAGGTATATTCCTCGAGACAAGACCTTTCTTTGAATACCAACATTTTTGATCTTTTTGCCTGGATTTTGACTTGCATTTGAGAAACTTTAACCTTCGCCATAAGCTGCCATACGGGGGCATCAGTGTTTCACAAACACATCTTGTTATTTTCTTCTCAAGAACAATGGGCCAAGTTCAAACAAACTTGGTACAGAGTATCCTTGGGTAAAGGGGATTCAAGTTTGTTCCCATTAGTGCCATTTCCACCCATTATTATTTTCACACTCTTAGACTTTCACATACTTAAAACTTGCATGTCAGTGGGGGCATTCATGTCATACTGATCGAAACATCTAGTTTTCTACATTTGCTGATAAGAGGGCTTTTTGAACCTTTATTCCCAAATTCTCATACAGAACTGTTGTGACAGAACATTCATCCAAACTGTAGGATTAAATGTAACTTATATCTTTTCCACTTTTGTAGCATAAAAATGTGTAATTTCATAGATCCTTGGATATGTGACAGGCATAGGGGTTTCATGAAAGTATTTTTCTGGATTTCTATACCCTTCTATGTATCCTATATAATAGGCAGGTCAATCTAGGCATCATGGGAAAGAGAAAACTCAGTAGAAGGTGACAATGAAAAAGGAAAGAGGAGAGGACAGGAAAAATTGCACCCTAAAACCAAAAAAAAAAAGAAGAAAGGAAAGAAGTCTTTCATGCATACTTTTTATTCAAGTGACCCTGCACCATGACATTTAGACCCTAATGCTCATTCTGTAGTTCATTAAACATACGTTTTCAGGATACAGATTATTAGGGCCCCACAAATCCTTGTGGGTGCCCTATAGTGATCACTCTGTCTGTCTGTCTAGCTGTCCGTCCGTCTGTCCATCTGTCATTCTTCTGTCCACAATTTTCTGTTTTTTTCTAATAACTTTTTTTAGGGTTGACCAATTAAGTTCAAGTTTGGTATGTTGGTTGAATAGGCAGTAAGACATATTTTGATGCTAAGTTGGTTCTCTATGTCATCTGGATTGGAGCAGGGGTGATGGGGTAGATTCCTTAACTTTATATAAGAATGAATGAGCAAAGAGAGATAACGGCTGAGAATGTTCCTATTGTAAACCATGAAAGCTGCAATGAGTCTCGTGGGATTAATTAACTTTCCTCTTGAAGAAAATCCAAAGCACAAAGCATTTATCTTTATCTGTTGCAGTGAGATTAATTAACACCTCTGTCTGCAAATGAAGTTTGATTTGAAGTTAAGGTCAATTCTGAATGATGTTTACATTCTCTGAAATGTGGATTTATTTATTTATTTTATTGTAAACCATGAAAGCTGCAATGAGTCTCGTGGGATTAATTAACTTTCCTCTTGAAGAAAATCCAAAGCACAAAGCATTTATCTTTATCTGTTGCAGTGAGATTAATTAACACCTCTGTCTGCAAATGAAGTTTGATTTGAAGTTAAGGTCAATTCTGAATGATGTTTACATTCTCTGAAATGTGGATTTAAATAATATGCATACTTATTTTGGTAAAATACACAATGAATTATGATTTTAATGAATTCTTAAAACAAGATATAGATAAAGATATCTTTTTTATTATTATTTTATTATTTTTTTTCCTTTCCTTTTTTCTGCCTCATGTAAATTCAAGAACACTATTAATTTTAACAGGTAGTCAGATAATAACCTCATTCTATCATTGCTAAAAAAGTTCTTATTGTAAACTTAGAAGAAAAGGATGAGAGAGCAGTGCAATTAATCCCCAGGGATTGATTATCTTCCCTGATTGCAGAAAATTTTAGAGGGTTATCTTTATGTGTCACTTTAAGATTAATTAATACCTTTGTCTGCAACTGATGGTTGTTTTGAAGTTAAGGTCAAGCCAGGGTGATATTTGCATTCACTGAAGGCTAGCTGGCATTTTAGAAAACACATGCTTCATTCTTCTTTAAATATATTTTAAATATATATTAAAATTATTTAATTGAGTGATTATAGATATGATGTTTTTTACTGCCTTATGTAAATACAAGGATACTATTTACAGATTGTTGGATATTTAAGAATTATCTTGAAATTTTATAAATACAGTTGCTGTTGCTTATTCTTCTTCATATATTTTTACATTTTTGTAATCAAGTAAAATTCTCATTCCCTAATCTGCACCCTTATATTTCTACCCCTCAGCGGGGCCCTTGCTGACTGGACAGATTTCTAGTTCATTAATGCAGTGGTTCATATTTTCTTTTTTCCCCAACCACTTCCTTTCAGATAAATATTCTTTAAAATCTCAGGCTGTCCAAAGGATGATTTGATATACAATTAACTGCACATTATATGGATAAATGTAAAAAAAAAAATACTGTAGAAATACGACTGAATTCAAACAGTATAACTTATGTCTTAGTTTAGTATGAAATCATATTTTAAACTTCCAGTATACATCATTTGGTTTTGTTAATAAGAAAAAATGTTTTTTTCTCCATGTATTCTCTCCATTTTGTGTTTTAATGAACATGTGAACGAGTTACCTAGGATAATAGAATTTTTTATGCTGCAAACATTGTTGGGATTATCTAAATTCATGTGTGGTATGTGGTACATTGTTGGATTAAATTGTTTCCACATGATTAAAAAAAATTCCGTACATTTTTTGTGAAACAAATCAGAAACAACTGTGACAATTTCTTCTGTGATAATTGTGTTATTATATTACTGATGGGTTATTGATTACTTATTTTCTGATAATTGTGTTTTTATATTATTGACGGGTTATTGATTACTTATTTTATAGAACCAGATGGATTCTGATGATGGAATTTTCTGGAGAGTTAACTGTGAAAGATTCCACCAACACTTCAGAGACCAAGCCATTGTTCAAGCCATTTCCAGCAAGATCGATAGGGTAAGGTCAGTTGTCCAGCAGTAGGTCTGTTTGATATGTCTTTAGCTATGTTCAGGTTATTCCCTTTTCCAGAATGCTGGAGAAGTCCTGAGGGCCATACTGAGAGCCAGTGAAGTAAAGACTGCCAGCATGGCTACTGCTACCACACCTTTATCAGTTACTGAGGTATACATAATAGAAATATGCTAATTTTAACTTCAATGTATGGTACCTGTACTCGCATAAAGTAAATATGAAAGAGCAATGCTCCTTTTAATGTTCTTAACTATTGGCTTGACATTTTTTTTTACGTATCTTATACTGTATAAGCAGAACTTTTAGCAAGGATTCAATTTTTGTATTTTATCAGTGAGGGTTTTGAGATTGATAGAATTGAATATTGCTTACAATTTATTCTGTATCAGTTGTTATAGCCATCTTTCTTGACATTATAAAATCGCTAAAATTACTTCTTGCTAACATTTTTTTAAATAGATTAATCACTACTGGTTAATTTGTGTCACACAAAAATTCCTCTTATATGGTATTACAACAAACATACATTTCCTTTCCTGTTTATTAGATATTTAATGCCCTACCTAAGGACTTGATGACACGTTCCCTGTTAGAAACCTACCTGTCTCTAATCTGTGATGATTCTGTGAGTATTTACCATGGCATAATGAATTGATAACTGTGGCTCAGATATTGATTATCAATCATTAAGAAATACAAGTAGATTAATACATAATGGAGTTAAGTTGTATAGCATCTAAGATATAAAGTCAAGAAAAAGTATTTTTTAAAAAAATCTTTATTAGCAGTCATCATTTGCTTGGAATAACCTATTTTATTACATTTTGAATAGTGAAATACTGTAATCTATTTACTGATTGAATAAAAGTGATATTCTGACACAGTGTGAAAGGATATCAAAATGGTATTCTCACAGTGTGAGAATATCAGAAGTGCAGCAAAACTTACGATTTTCCTTCCCTTCACAAAGAGTGTTTTAAAAAAAAAAATCCCTGGCCTGTTATAGGATAGAGTTAATGAGCCATCCTTACAGAGACTTATAATTATACTGCCAAAGTTTTTCCAAATATGTCATTAAAAATCCATGTTTACCATGTTTTTCAATCTGGCAATCCCTTATAGCTATGACGTCTCAACCGCTCAACTATCATCACATCACAGCCTATGACACTGTGTTACGAAAAGATAGAGGCAAAGGAAAAATCTAAGAAAATGTAATAAACAGAAAATTCAATGTTTTGTAGTTTAATGTTGAATTTATTTCACTCATGAGACAGGATTTTTTTATATTTTCACTCGTGCTTCGCATTTGTGAAAATATAAAAAAATCCTGTCCCACTTGTGAAAAAAATTCCATATTCATCTACAAAACATTGAATATCCTCTATATATTACAGTCTATTTTTTTTCAGACAAACTTTCTATCTCGAGTTGGAGACAGTGGAGGGGGAATGTACTCCATAAGTATCCTTACAGCATTAAATCAAAACATCTCATTAATAATTCAAACTGTATTCAAAATACAGTATCAAATCAAAACTTATCTCTACAATCTAGAAGGAATTTCTCAAACATAAAAGGTACAGTCATTATTTTAAAAGAACTGCAGTGATGTCTTATGAATAATTCATTTTGTTTCTTTTAGAACTTTGTTTTTTATGTTTTCAAGGTATTAGAATACAAATAAGTATATATTGAAATATGTTACTGAACTTGTACACAGTAAATTTTTGAAATATTAGTTACGCAGTAAATTTATTAAATATTAGTTACACAGTAAATTTATTAAATATTAGTTTATATCACTCGTGAGACAGGATTTTTTTTTTAATATTTTCACTTGTGCTTGGCACTTGTGAAAATATCAAAAAATCACATCACACTCGTGAAAAAATTCCATATCCAACAACAAAACATTGAATATATTCTATTAGAAACTAAAATGTACCGGGGTATTTGGAAAATTTCAAACAGCACTGAAAGACAAAATTACCCTGTGTTTATGAACAGTACATGTCATGTCCAAAATGTAAATACATGTACACATGTACCGATTTAATTGAATTTTAAAAAAAAAATCTACTTTCTGTCATCAGTGTCATACTCAAGAAATACTGGATCGAAATTTTTATGGACAGTTTCTATATATTAAAAAACAAACCAAAAAACATGGTATTTTAAAATTAGCAAGTCTTCATGTGACTGTAGAACAGCTTTGTTTATTAGTCCCCTTCCTGTGAAACCGGAGGGGACTAGGTTTCCTCCTCGTCTGTCCCTCCATCTGTCTGTCTGTCCATCTGTCTAGTTGTCTCTCCGTCTGTCAGTCTGTCCCCCTTGGTTTTCCGCACTTTTTTCTAAAGACTTGCAGATATTGAGCTGATTTTTGGTATGTAAGTGTATCTTGATGAGTTACAGATCAAGTGTGGATTTCATTCCGCTTCATTGATTTTTGAGGGAATTACAACCTTTTTAATTTTTAAAGGTTTTCCACACTTTTTTTCTAAACACTTGCAGATATTGAGCTGATTTTTTGTATGTATCTTGATGAGTTACAGATCAAGTTTTACATTTTGTTTGGCTTCACTGATTTTTTTTATGGCAAAAAGTGCGGAAAACCAAGTGGGGCAGACTGACTGACAGAAAGAGGGACAGCTAGACGGACAGATGCAGAGGAAACCTATAGTCCTCTCCGGTTTTACCGGTAGGGGACTAATAAACATTACCAGTGGTATTAATTTGGAATTTTTAAAATCTACTTTAGTTGCTGTGAAAAAAAAGAAATAATGTCAGGCTCTTTTATAGGATCAATTGGGGGGGGGGGGGGGGCATTATCCAGGAAAACTGACAGCTGAAAAAATCTTTGATTAGCCCCCACAAAAAGAGAATTCTCTTAACTCCAAGTTTTGTTTTGGAGTTGGGGTGGGCTTGGGGGTGGGGGATTAAGGTCTATTAGTGGGGGACCAGCCTTTCAATGAATATTTTAGTCTTAATTAAAAGTAAAAATTTACGTTCAGAAAAAAGTGTTGGGGGAGGGGTCAACTGCAACCCCCCTCCCCCAAACCAACCCAACCCCAAATTATATACTCCCTAATGTTATGTTCACCTGAGTCAAAGTGGGTAGCAAGTGAAATAGCTTTCCAAAACTACCCAGTACTTGTATCAATTTGGAATTTCCCGATCTATTTTTAGACCAATGTAGAGAAAATAAATCCTTATACATTGTATTCACCTGGAAGGTCAAGTGCTGGTGAATATAATGTATTTTTCTTCATTGTTTGATCTCAGCCAATCAGAGAGGTAGGAATTATTTAATCGTATCATGAAAAGAATTAGGTCATAATTTGTCCTTGACATTGACATACATATATGAAGCCCTGACTCAGCTGGCTAAAGCTCACATAGAGTCAGTTGTTCAAGAAAGGTAACTAATGATTTTTTTTCTTAAATTGAGTCTGTTATACACATAATACATTCATTTTCATCAATGAAATGAGTAAATAAAGTTTATTTATATTCCAGGTTTGGTTCCAAATGTCTTAGAATTTTTAGAGTATTACTTCTTAAAAAACATCTGGAGCAAAAACAGGTACATGTACATCTATGTCTGAAAAAATAAAGCATGGATAATTGTAGTATATCTGCTAGCTTTACTTTCACCAATTTAATTCTTGTTTATTGAAGTTAAAAGTGGATTAATAAAAACTAGAAATATGTCCATAGGACATGAATGCCCCGCTGAGGGTGTATATAAGGTCAAAGGAAAGGTCAAGGTCAAAAATTGTTGATGCAATTGAAAAGGTCAGCATATGAAGTTTGATAACACTATCTTGAATGGTATCTTTATAACTGAGCTAAAAACATATTTAAGAAAAGTGAGGTCAAGGTCAAATGAAAGGTCAAGGTGAAAAATATTGATGCAGTTGAATAGCTCTCATCAGTATGTATCAGCATATGAAGTTTGTTAAAAATATCGAATGGTTTCATCAAAACTGAACTAATTAAAGAAAAGTGAGGTCAAGGTCAAAAGAAAGGTCAAGGTAAAAAATGTTGATGCAGTTGAATAGCTTACATCAGTATGTATCAACATATGAAGTTTGATTAAACTATCTTGAATGGTATCTTTAAAACTGAGCTAAACACTAATTTAAGAAAAGTGAGGTCAAGGTCAAAGGAAAGGTCAAGGTCAAAAAATGTTGATGCAGTTGCATAGCTCTCATCAGTATCTATCAGCATATGAAGTTTGATAAAAATATCTTGGATAGTTTCTTTGAAACTGAGCTTTGAACAGAGCTAAACGCAAAGTGTGACGGAAGGACAGACAGAAGGATGGAAGATGGACATGACAAACACTATATGCCCCGGCCATATTCATGGTGGGGCATAAAAAAAATAATGAAGAATTTTTTTTCTAAGAATAGAAATAGCTATTAATGGGATTAAACCAAGGACTTTTGTTAAAATAACATGGGGGCCTGATTCCAAATACACAGCATTTATTAATGTGTCCATTCGTATTAATTTTAGTGGGATTTTCTCTTTCCTTACAGATAGAAGATTTTGTAATGATTTCAGCAAAAGAAGCAAAAGATCTTTTATACACATTATTTTCAGAAAACTTTGTCACCACTACAGTAAGTCATCAGATTGAATGTTAATTCTCTGTCAAATGTACAATGTTGCATATTTTAACCATGATTTCAAGGGAAGAAAAAGATGTGCACATTGCCTTGAAAGAGTAAATGATTTGCATCATATATTGCAATATTTTAAGAATTTCTTTTTTATGCCCCCATAATGGGAGATTCAGGGGCATATAGTTTTTGCCCTGTCTGTCCATCTGTCTGTCTGTTTTTCTACAAAAACTTTAACATTGCCCATAACTTTTGATTGATTAGAGCTATGGCTTTCATATTTAACATGTGTATTCCTTGTGACAAGACCTTTCTTTTAGTACCATCATATTTGACCTTTTGACCTTGGCCTTGAAGTTGGACCCAGTTTTGCAAAATTTTACCCAACTTTAACCTTGGCCAAAACTTTTGAACAATTGTGCTAGGGCTTTCATACTTCATATGTATAATCCTTAGGATACGACCTTTTTTTTTGGATACCAACAACTTTGACCCTTTGACCCTGACCCAGGAGTTTGAGCTGCTTTTGAAGAACTTTAACCTTGGTCATAACTTTTTAACAGCTGATGCTAGGGCTTTCATACTTCACATGTGTAATCCTTGTGACAAGACCTTCCTTTGGATACCAACAACTTTGACCCTTTGACTTTGGAGTTTGACCTACTTTTGAAAATCTTTAACCTTGGCCATAACTTTTGAACGGTTGGTGTTAGGACTTTAATATTTCACATGTGTATTCCTTGTAACAAGATCTTCCTTTGGATACCAACAATAACTGTAAGTTATTGTTGGTTATGTATTTATTTTGTATGATATTTTGCTGAAATTACTTTTTGAACAAGTTAGCATGGATTTGATTTAGTGCATTTCTTAATGGTCTTATTTATGAGACATTTATGCAAGACATTTAGCATTGTACTTGATTTAGCGGAAGTTTCCTTCCGCCAAAGGAGCTAAAAAGAATACACAGCCAACTGTAAAACATTTACAGTATAGCCTACTGACTTTGACCTTGGTGTCCTATTTTTTGAAAACTTTAACCTTAGCCATTACTTTTGTATAGTTGGTGCTAGGGCTTTCATACTTTACATATGTTATCCTTGTGACAAGACCTTACTTTAGATACCAACAACTTTGACCTTGAACTTGGAGTTTGACCTACTTTTGAAATCCTTTAATCTTGGCCATAACTTTTGAATGGTTGGTGCTAGGGCTTTCATATTTCACATGTGTATCTTTTGTGAGAAGGTCTTTCCTTGGGCACCATTAATTTTGACCATTTGACCTTGACCTTGATGTTTGAATTACTTTTGAAAAACTTTAACCTTTTCTATATCTATTCAATGGTTGCTGCTAAGGCTTTCATATTTCAGACAATTAAGATTAGAATTTCATCTTGCTTTTTGTCTATCTATTTGTGGCTCATCAAAGGATTTCCTTTCAAGGGCAACAAATAGATAAACTTAGAGCAAGGTGAAAGGTCTAATTTAATTAGACTGGAAATGATCATCATCATTTTCTTCAAAGTTATTACTAAAGCAACTTGTGAATGTTAGATTCAATGATTTCAGGAAATATCCAAGACCCCTGACCATGCCCCCTCTAGAACCTACTACCTATTCACAGTTAACATCCAGCAGGTGGCTTCTCTAGTATTGGACAGGTGCTATAAGGCAAGTAAAATTTTAAAGGGTAATCAAATGGATTCTGATTTCACAATAAGTTATTGATCAGATTTGATCCTAGTTTTGTGAAAATATTAATGCTGACAAGACTCAATCCTTATAAAGAACAAGCTACAAACGGTAAGAATAAGTTGCAAACTATCCATGTTGGAAAGAATTCTTTTCAAGTCATATGTCCATGTTAGGATTTGGCCATATTAAACTCAAAGAACTAGTACAATGCAAATCATAAGTTTCAAATAACAGGATACAGTTGATACTTTGGTATCTCAAACAAAATATGTTGAAGACCATGGATATATTTGAAGTGAGAAGTCCAAATTTCTCTTCATCTAAGACATTTCTTATAGAGAGATGTTTCTTGATACTCAGACTTATAAACTCTTGATTTTTTTTATTGCAGGCTTTGTACAATGCCATGTTAAAGAAAGAGGCAGAAGTAACTGAGCACAGGTACCTTGATGTTTTTGAGAATCTTGATTTGCTTCTTATAATCATTGGTATATTGACTGTATGACTGAACATGCAGTGTAAAAATCTTTTGCAAAAGAATTCCTATGACAAGCAGGTGAGCATGATTTTTGAGTTTCAGTATAACTGGGACTAGTAAACTCAATAGAATGAATTATGTTGGTATGGGAAACACTTGTAGAGTTGGCATTAAATTAATCCACTTGTTGGTAAAGGAATGTCGAATATTTTTTAAATGATGGATAGTTACACAGTACATACGTTTTAAACAAAACTTACATCCAGTTTTGAACAAAACTTACATCCAATTTAATTAGTTTTTACCATTTTGGTGTTTGTTGCATATTAAGGGCTTATTGGAGACTTGTGAAGATATAAAATAGCAACCCCCTCCCCCCACTTTACAGTGTAGACTGTCATTACTGTGGGTAGCTTGTACTTGTTAATTTCTATAATGACTACTCTGATCTTCAGGCGTTTGCTGGACAAGCAAGAGAGGATGGAAGCCATTGCTGCATCAGTAGAGGATGCAAACCAGCGGGAGGAGATCCTAATGACCATAACCCCCTCAGAACAGGAGCAGATCAACAAAGTCAGATGTACCATTCGAATGTACATTTAAATCATTTCCTTTGAAAATACTGAACCCAATTAGATCATGACATTTTAAATTAAAATTACCTATGTAAATCAAAGAAAACAAATCAATTTAAAAATCAATGCATATTACAGTAGATAAGTTACTTCATGTTTCTGAAATGATTTGGTAATGTTTTTATTATGTTTTTATTATAATTATACATGAATAGCAAGTGAACAACATTTTTTTTTTTCAGGTTAGACCAAAGTGAACTTCAAATTTCTGAGGGCATATTTATTCTGGAGAGATATCTTTTATATTTTAAACTAAGACAGAAGGACAAGTCATAATAAATGTGTTTTGATGAGGAAGATTGTTTTTATTTCACATGCAAGTCCAGATGGAAAGATTGAGTTTGTTATCAACTGCATACTAATATCTACTGTGAAATCACAAATTTTCGTGGGGGTTTAATTTTTGTTGATTTCAAGGTATGAAGAGACCCACAAATTCATATCCACCACGAAATGTAAAATTTTATCTATATAGGTATCTACTCAACTATTCTCCATCCACAAAATCGTATCCCCATGAACTTTTTGTATTCCATGCTTATTCCATGAATGGCTACTTGCAAAAACCAACATCTAATTATCACACTCAATTAAGAGGCCTTCTAAAGGGTACAGGTAAACTTACCAGTATGAATACGCTACCTGAACTGAATTTATTAGTCTCATCACAATTTTACAATTGTATACAGAGATGAACATAAACAATGGTGACAAATCAAAACAGGTTTTATAGCATGTGTGAGTATGGACAAATAGTACAATTAAAGATGTATGTATTTCACTAGATCAGGGGGCACGTCTTATGAATATTTCTAATAAATATACAAAGTTTTTTGTATTTCACTAGATAGGGGAGCATGTTTTATTAATATTATTATTTCTAAAAATTTGAATTTATATTTGCAAGGAAGTGTTTACTTGAGTTTTATCTTTTCTGGCTCTGTGATTTTTAAATGACTCAAACTTTTTTCAGTATTTCTTGATTGTCTAGCCTTGAAAGAGAGTGAAGCTCTTTAAATTATTGGAATATAAAAGAAATCAATTCATCCTATTATGCTTTGTGGCAAGTTTGATTGAAATTGGAACAATAGTTCTAGAGAAAGTCAAAAATGTGAAAAGTTTCCAGAGGATAGACAGATTATAAAATGTTTTGAGCTTTTAGTTCATATGAGCTTTGAAACAAAAGAAGATGGGCGAACAAGGCGAGCGAAGTGCCTATAGTGCAACAAACATGAAGGTGAAAAATTAAATCTCAATTATAACTAAATTTTCTTTGATATTTCATCTAACATTAAAGTATACTTTATGTAAAATCTCCACAACTTGCAAATATCTCACAAAGATAGAAATTATTTGCCTATGAAATAGCATACACACACTAAAGAGGGCAAAAAGACGATTTTCTCATACTATAACATAATTTTTCAACATGAGTGGGTCTTTGCTCCATTTTTTTGAAAGTTTATTCTCAAAGTTTGCATAAAAATATACATTTATTGGGTAACAAAAACATGGAGCAAAGACCCACTATACCTTAAAAATATACTTTTATGACAGAACATTCGTATATTTCCGAGAAATACTAGGAAGTCCATTTACTCAAGGGTCATATCACAAACATGATTTAAATGCCACAATTCATCAAGTGCAGTGTAGCGTAGTGGTTAGCGTGTTAGTCTCAAAGGAAAATGATACTCAGGATTTTTATTGCTAGGGTTCGAACCCCACGAATACCACATAATTTTAATAACAGAATAATTTTTGTCGAAAAAATTTCCTCAAAAAAGTTTTGTTTATCATAGTTTCATAAATTTTAATAATGAGAACTTCACTCTAAATACTAAATTCACGAATTGATTAAGATTTTTACAGATCTGAAGCTATAGGCATTCTGCACGCCTTCTTCACCCATCTCCTTCACAAAATGAAGCTAAAAAAAAGAAAAGAAGGAAATTGAGTTATTTCCCTTTTCAATATGTCAATAAAATTTATGATTGAGGCGGTACCTGAGAAATTTCAATTTTTTTTAATTTTTACCTAAGTGGTATATTTTGTTTTTCTTTGAACATGTACATGTTTTACCTGTGTGTCAGAAGTTTTCTTACAAATTTGACCACTACTTTTGGAAACTTTGGTATCTCGAACACTGATATCTTGAATACCATGGATATGTTGAAGTGATTTGGAAGTCCCAACCACTTATTCTTTAAATATTTTATCCCTGATATCCTGAATCTTCAGTTATCTCATTTTTTTTTTCAGTCCCATTGAGTTTGAGATAATGAGGTTTGACTGTAATTTTATTTCATAGCAATATTTTAACTTTCTCCATTTTAACTTTTCTACCCCATTGCTTGTGACTTTTGTTTAGGTTCTCCGACTGAATGCAACATGTATAACACGTGCAGACTTATCGCATATTTATCTCCACTTACATATGAGAGTGGTAGACAAAGACACACTACAAGAAGTATCTATATGTGTCTCTAGCATAAATTATATCAAACATATTTGTATATTTCACTAAAAAAAAGTCAAAACATCAGTTACAAATATCTTTATTGAATTCTTTGGAATGGATACATGTATGCATACTGCATCATTTACAGTTTATATAGCACTATTGAAGTCTTTTAAATATGTATTGTTAAGGTCATACACAATGTACCTTACAACATACCTTATTCTTCAAGATATTCTTAATTAAAAATCATAGTACCATCAGATGTTCTTTGACCAAAAATCAACATACCTTATCAGGGGTTTTGAATAGATATCAAATGATAAAAATCCCTACATCATTCAAAACATACAAAAATTACCAAATATATAATTTCAGTTGGTTTTTCCTCAAAATGTGTTCTAGGTAAGGTGTATAGCATTTACACATGATAAAAGTTGCACACAGGTCCTTCAATAACAAGGAACAGTCTTTTTTTAACAAGGAACAATTGTGCAGGGAATAAGAAAATAAAGTTAAAAAATATGTTGCAAATGTCAATAAATGTATATTACATTTCTTTACACTAAATTATAAAATGCATTATTGTAATATAACATCTGAGAAGGCAAGATAATAAAAAAAAACAATATAATGGACAGTCTACACTCTGGATTAAATCTGGATTGTTGAAAATGCCATAGAATACACTAGTTTTCTTGATGAAAAATCATCAGATTCATAGAAATTCATTCACTTTTAATAATACAAGTTTTAGTGATCAGTATAAGGAATGTTACTTTTTACTCCAAGGACACTCCTTGTTTTCCTTCCAGCTAGATGACTCATCTGCATAAATTTCCTGCCAAAAGATGTAATTTGTGTACATATTCAATACATATATGATTTTTAGTAATATATATCAGTAATTCAGCTAGTGTAAGCTTTGTTTGACCTTAACGCCTGTTTGTTAGTCTGAAACCAACAAACATTCGGGACAATCAATAAATTTAAAATTAAGTCTGTCCATTCGCTTTTACAATGCACACTGTATATTGTAGCTACCATGATTTGAAATAAACTAGATGTGTCGTAACGCCACGAATGCCCTTGCAGGCAGCCAAAATTTCAAATGCCATATTTTCTGACTTTTTTCTAAGTTCAAGAGGGATAACTCTGTCAAAAATCATTGAATCACAACTAAATTCAAACTTGGTATAATACCTGCATATGCAATTTGTCAATAACCCTCTGAATTACATTTTATCTTGTCACCTGTAGACAAATCTGGTACAGGACTAGTAACTTTACATGGTTACTGGTCTTGTGGACCAATGAGTGAAAATGCTAAGCTGCAAACACCGAGTTGAGGTCTGTTACCTTTTTCCAAATGGGCACCGTGGCCTTCAGTGTGTCAATGGCATACTCCACAGCCTGTAGCGAGTCCTTCCTATGTGGAGACGATACAGCAATGACAATGCTGGCCTCAGAGATAGGAACCACACTAAAATCAGTAAAGTTGATATAGATCACTGAAGAGGTAGCAAAGTACAATGTTTTGGAAAAACAAATAAGCTTTATTATTGCAAGTTGTATTGTTTTAAGGACGTACAACACACCCACTACCAAAAATTTCCTGTCGTTTAATTATTCATGATTATATATACAATGCGTATGCACATTTTGGACAAAATTGTTCGAGTAGTATTTGGACAGGAAGTTCCAAAAGTTACCCCCCTTTGGTTGTTCACGCGGAGAAGAAATTTTCAATCAGCTAGCTATAAAATCCCTGATTATCAAAAAAGTTCAGCTTGTCTGGCTGTCAAATCTCATTGACTCATTCATATAAGCATTAACCACACAAATAAAGTATTTTTCTAGAGGTACACATCGGCAAAATTTTTTTTGAAGAACTTACACTGAAAAACTATGGTTCATTTAAGCCTTAAAAAATGCGTATTTTTCAATTTAAATAATTTTTTATGAAAAAACCTATCGTTTAATTTTGGATAAAATACTTTTTTAATGTAACTGGTTACAAAAGTAATCTTGATAATTTTTTGTAATTTTTTTAAACGACCCGTTTTGAATTTAAAGCGAAAAATCCCCCCCCCCCCATGTTTCTCCTTAAGTCATGTTTCTCAAGAGTCTTTCAGATGTGGGACGAAAACATTGTTAGATCTACAAATACACGTGAAAAATTCCAAGCTAGAAAATATCTTTTGCTTTAAAAAATTATTTACATTATATATCAGAGTTCTTAAAACTTTTAAGTTCCTTGAAATACAGATGTATAGGCAATTTTTGACAAAGCTCCCCCAAATTTTTTTTTTGGACGCAGTCATTAGAATTTGATGAAACATAGGTTACCCTCGAGATATATATTTATCTTTTAAATCCCTGAAGTACCAATTAATTCATTCATTCATGCAGATTAAAATTCTGACAACTAGAATAAGCATTCAACTATCAACTACTAGAATAAAAGTTAAACTTATTCTCTAAGGATTTTATGTCCACGTGTCCAATATGTATTCCATACACATGGCTTAAATGCATTTAATTTTATACCTGCATATGAATTCAACTTACGTTGAATTTTAATCTCATTTTGTGAACGCAAAATTCAACTCTTCTATTATGTAAACAGAATGGTAAATGGAATATATATTGTTTCTTATTTATTTTAAACTAGAGAGGGGTCTAAAAGTACCTCCCCCCCCCCCCACCCACTTGTATGCATCCTTCTGTTGCTTCTATAGATAAAATGAAAATATCGTATTCGTCTACATTAACTTCAATTTATCAAACTGGAAATTTTCCACCTATGTTTAAATTATTCGTGTGTCAAAATATTCATGTACAGTGATACATGTATAAAACGTTTTGTTTTGATTCGAGGAAATGCGCACTGAAATTGTGACAGTGGTAGATCGTAGATCTAGATGGTCGGATATGGCCAGTTTGCCGCATATAAGATATTCGTGAATTCGGACCATTTCAGTAATCAATTCTATTACATTTTCGGTACTTACTTAGTATATATTATAGTTTTCAGTTCAGAATTCATTGTAAATGTGTCCTCATAACTGTTCGGCAAACAAAAGGAAATTATTCAACAAGGGAAGGAGAAAAATCTCCCACATTTTTAGAGTTGTTCCTCTTTGATCAGTGAACTTTTGGAAACGGGCTGTAAAACATTCTTTTTTCTTAAAAGGAGAACAAAACAGTATTTATATGGCTAATTCTTAATTTTAAGATAGGCCCATGATCTGGTAATGCGAATGTTACATAGCCAACTGTAACAAAAGAAAGCAATGTATCATAAAAAGATAAAGAATATTGTTCTGCTAATGTTGATCATGGATACGAGTTTTACATAAAATTAAAGAAATTTTAAAACATAATCTTTCTTTTCTTCCCTTTTTATGGAGGGAGGAGCGGGTTTTAAATCAAAAGCGCTAATAATCAAGGAAATGATTTGCTATTTCTAAAGAAATCACATCAAGTCCCTAATCCCATTTTCTTTAATTACGTCGGGATCGATGCGGTCGTCATTTTGATGCTTTATTACAAACGTCAAATTTGACGTCAAGTTAAACATTTAATTGAAATCGCAAGAGTTATCTCCCTCAGTGCATTGTACGTCTTTAAAACCTTTTTTTTAATCAATCTCATGCAAAAATTGTATTGTAAGAAACTAACTTTAAATAAGAAAGGTTTAACCCAGTAGGTTGTGGTAACCACGTGGGACAATACATGATAATAGTTTACTTACTCAATTTTCTTTGCATAAGAATGTTATTGTACAAACTTACTTAATTCTGTGAATCATTGCTGTTTTGTGTATCTGCCACTTTTTTCGAACAGCATCACAGATTTCTTTCATTTTCTTCTCTGCCATTGGTTTATAAGCTTCGTATTCTAGTCTCAGTACCTTTTTCCCATCAAAGTTGTCCCTTGTAATTCCTAATCATACAACTTAATAAATGAAAGACTACAAAAGTTACAAACCTCATCTTTGAAAAGACAAATAGGTATTATTAAACCATAACTTTATTCTGAGAAAGATTTAAGCTCCTTTTTTCCAAGAATGTATGACTTACCCACAAATATAGATATAGCACCACAACTTGGGTCTGTGACCATCTGTGATATATTGTTGACATCAAGTTTCTTTTCTGTTATCTCTATAAAGTCCATTCTATATTCTGTAATACACAAAGTAAAAAGTTAAGATTACACTCTTATTACATTACCTATAATATATTCAACATTTACCGACTGGGTTCAAGGGCAACACATTTTGTTGATCCTGTGAACCAAACTGTTTACCTCAGGTAGGCTGAAGGCAAAAATTTGATTCAAGGGTTTGACAAATTGCATTTTGCACAAGGATCCATTCAATAAATGTTTTGTTATAACTTTAACAATTGTTTCTTATACAAATTCTGCACTAGCTTCCATGTCTGTTCTGTATATGACAAAATTTGATGTAAAATTTCATTTATCGGCAATGCAGATTTAACTTGGTCAATTCTGTTGTCAAACAATGAATGCAAATTATATATATTGTAAATCAACTATTATATATGCAACAACTTTCATTCATGATGTGTCGGTTTGGAATTCATCAGTGACGCTTAATTTTCACAACTGAAGAAGCATTCAATTAAAATAATGGTTTGTGCTGAGAAGTATTCATGAGGAAAAGCAGGTTGCAAAACTTGCAGATATTTCTTGCACATGAATAAAAATTGGTTTACAGTAATTTGTTGACTAGTTTTGTCAACTGATCCCACCTTAGCTGTGGTCCAACATCTCACCAACATAACAACATATTACTAACAGTTTTTGAACCACTCCAAAAAAAAAAAACATTGGAAATGTTAGACTTTTTAAGGACATTTGACTAACCTTCTATCTATGGAGACTTGGGAGTGGTGTATTATCCACCACTTATTGGTGGAATAACAGCTACCTCGTCACTGTCTCTAAGAGTCAACTGTTGGTTGTCTTCAATGTACTCTTCATTCAGGGATAGAATTATATTTTCTGCTATTACCTCTAATCTATAAAAGAAAGGTAAAAAATGATATTTTCAACCAAAAGTCCAAGATGAGACTGTAGCTCTACTGGTTTCAATTCATTATGGTCTACAAGTTGCATTGTCCTGTACTTTTGCCCTTTCTTCTGGAATTTTACATTAATCTAATGAATATGTTCTCTAAATTAGTACCAAGTTTTATTTGAAACAGACAAAAAGTACAGAAGGAGAAGTATGTTTCAAGAATTAAACAAAATTCCTATCTTTATAACTAAAGGAACAACAATGAAATCAAATACTGATAAACAGATTAATATATTTTAATGAAGTCAAACTTGTTGTACCTAATTTCACTGAATTGGACTAAAGGAGTAGGAAGAAGAGTATTTTGAAAGAAGTCCTCTCATTAAGCCAAGGCAACAGCATTCATGGAAATTAAAAAAAAAAAACCTTTTAGGTATAGAATAAGGTACATGTATCTTCATACAGTCTACATGTACTTCTAAATTCAAAGTATCGGATCAGAGAGCATAAGAAAAATTGCATTTTGATAGAATTATTTACTAAGGACAAACGCAACGTACCTTACCAACTGATAATTTTTCAAGATATTCTTAATTTACGATTATAGTGCCATCAGAAGTTCAAAGATAAAAAAATCAGCATGCATTATCAGAGATTTTGAAAAGATAACAATTGATGAAAATTCTTGTATAATTCATGGCCACATTGCTAATTGATTGAAAACCAGTATATTACATTTTTCACCTGCTTGTAATCTACTTATGTACCAAGTTTCATTGTAATCAGACTAAAACTGTAAGAGGAGTAGCAATTTAAAAATAGTTAACATACAAAAAGACAGACAGGTGGATTATAGACACCCTACCAAGGATAAGTTCTGACTTAATTAAGTTTGATGATATTTTACCACTCTGGTAATACATGTAAAAGTTAAAAATATCTGCAGATGTACTTACGAGGGATATTTTAACAACAGGGCTTGTTTGAGTGCATCAAAGTTGGAGTTAGCAGATAATATCAGCTCTCCCAATCCACTTCCAACTAGCTCTCTACTTTTAGCGAAAAATAACAGATTTATCTGAAAAAAAAAGAAACATAATTACTGAAATTTGGCTTACTAACTGAGATAATGTGACTCAAATAATCATAAACGAATAATTTATTTCTCATGTAATGCAACATCATTTGAACTAATCACCATCTCATTAATATATATGAAAGGGTTTGGGGAAAGTTCTTCAAACTTGACTAGTTCCTCTTCTAAGACATCTGTAATAATCCCTTTTGATAAACAAGCTTGTGGACTCAAAACCATGGTTTGCGACGATGGGTATACACATCCTGTTGCAATTTTTTTAAAACTTTGTACAGTGTGGGTACCCTTATAATTACTTGCAATCTCCAGAAATGGTAATTGCTAGCAGAATTGACTCATGCTGTTGCTGGAAGATTTAAGTCACTAAACTATATGTTCATGTCATGTTACCTTTAAAACTACCAGCAATCTCCAAAGATGGTATAATTGCTTGAGCTATATGTGCTCTCTGGAAGTATTGGGTCACTTAGCCATATGATGAACCAGACTAGGAATCTTCAATATAAATGTCATATCTGTATTGCTGTAATTGTTCCAAGCTCTGGCAAAGAAAAGATGATGAAAAGCTGAACAATTCCATCGCAAATGCCTTTGGAGAATCCTGAAGATATACTGATTATATAAGATCTTATATCCACAACTTTATGAAAGAACAAGAACTATCCCACTATCTAGAACAATCAAAGCATGGCGATGGAAATGGAAAGACCATATTTTCCAAAGAGACACCAGTTCCAACATGAGAATAGCTTTACAATGGGCTCCTGAAGTAAAAAGAAAGCAAGGAAGACCAGACCCCGGGGCCATAAAACTTAGACAAGCATAATTTTGATCTCGGTCTCACTTTTCCACTATATATCCTTTTGTAAAAGTGAGACTGAGATCAAAAGTTAGCTCATCTAAGTTTTATGGCCCTGGAGCCAGTACCTGGAGGTGCACAGTAGACAGAGAAAGAGAACTGGGTTAGAACAGTAGACGGAAAGAGAAGAAGTGGGCTGGAACAGTAGAAAGAAAAGGAGAATTGAGCTGGAATAGTAGAGAGAAAAAGAGAACTGGGCTGGAACAGAAAAGAGAGAAAGAGAAGAAGTGGGCTGGAACAGAAGAGAAAGAGAGAGAACTGGGCTGGAACAGAAGAGAAAGAAAGAGAAGAACTGGACTTGAACAGTAGAGAAAGAAAGAGAAGAACTGGGATGGAACAGTAGAAAGAAAAAGAGAACTGGGCTTGAACAGAAGAGAGAGAAAAACTGGGCTGGAACAGTTGGAGGGGATTGCAGATTGCTGCCAGTGACAGTCATAAGTGGCGTGATTTGTGGAACACCTGGCACAGAGATGATAAGCAAGTAGTAACATCAAGTAAGACAACTGTATACACCCAAGGGCAATACACAAATGTAATGAAAGAAAGAGGAATTCCACACTGGTGGCAGAGAAATATTTCTTTTTTCTGTATCTTGATATATTGGTATATTGTTACACCCCTAAACTAATAGAGGTGACAGTCCTGTCCCTGGAATGATATTTTGTACAGTTAACAGATTGAAATCAGTCCAAGTTTGCATACTATTTTTGAAGAATGCAGAAAAAGGAATACACACAGAACCTACCTCCCTCTTGAGGACTTTGCAGATGATTTTCTGCACAGTCCTTGTAGAGGGAGTTCATCACTCAAAATAAGCACATGGATGAGATGTACTTCAGAAAATTAACAAAACAATGGAGAGGGCATCCTGTTCAATTGCCTGATCAACTGAGGAACCCTGTCTAGAGGGTGGCCCCATAAATTTATACAGTTATGAAGAATGAGCAAGGGATTATCACTTTCAAGGAGGGCTGGCTAAGATGGGGATCGAGTGGAAATCGACAACAATATGCAGATGATATCTAATTATTACGGTGGTACATTCAGGACGAGAATAGGAAATTACAATATTTTTTTTAAGATACCAGGAAAAATTCATCTTGTGAAAACGAGATATTATGTCGTGAAAACGACTTGTTATCTCATGAAAACGACATATGTCGTGGAAACAAGATATTATCTCGTGAAAATGAGATATTATCTCATGAAAACAACATTATATCACATGAAAACGAGATATTATCTCATGAAAACAACTTATTATCTCCTGACTACGAGATTATTTTCACGAGTTAATATCTTGTTTTCATGAGATAATATTTCATTTTCATGAGATATCTTGTTTTCATGAGATAATATCTCATTTTCATGAGATAATATCTCTTGAAAACAAGAAAAGTTGTTTTCATGAGATAATATCTCGTTTTCCTGAGATGATAAGTCATTTTCATGAGTTAATATCTCGTTTTCACGAAATATTATATCGTTTTCAGGAGATAATATGTCGTTTTCATGAGGTAATATGTCGTTTTCAAGGGATATTATCTCGTTTTCACAAGATAAATTTTTCCTAGTATCTTGAAAAAAATAATTACGTGTCCTAAATGTACCACAGTAAATTATTGCAAAAGTTTCTTCTTTAATGATCAGTCTGTAACCTGTTTGGTTTCAGAATATATAAGCACAGGAGTTCGCAATTTTATCAGTAAAGTCAAGAAAAAATCACTCAATTGACCAAGCCATGAGCTAAACATTAGCATAGCGAACTTCGCTATGCTAACACATAGCTCATGGCTTGGTCAATCAAGTGATTTTTATTGACTTTATTGATAAAATTGCGAACTCCTGTGATATAAGGGAATATCAATTTTATCCAAAGTTTCAAGTGAATGAAGATCAATAACTGGGACATTCTGACAAATTGTTACAAAACAGGTATGATCAGACAATTTTAGAAACTTAATTAAAAGGAAGAGTCGAGATAAAGTAATAAAATTATCAGAATGTCTAAATAAAGGAGGCGTCGTTGTATAATGATTATGTGCAATGTTTTTCTATCGAGCCGGCTATACCTATAAACACCCTTTTTTTTATTTTAGAAAGTATATGCAATTTTAGAAGAACACTAAATACAAGCAAAGGTGTTTATCTGATAAAAAAAAACCCGTCAACCCCAAAATGTCAGCGTCCACAACTTTAAATAACATATAAAAACCCACCTTAACATTTTCTGCCATGCTATGGCATCATTGAGCAATGAAAACGGGTGACACGAAACGCCGAAATGTCGGGTTTCTGCCGAAATGTAAGTAGAATGCGCCGAAATGACAGATGAAATACTGCAATGACTGTGGATATCAATTGATATGGATACTAATATCTCACAAACATAAACTTTTTGAGGTCAATCCTTACCCCTAAGGTTTTAGAGCCCATTTTATCGTAAATATTGGAGGAAGTCAGCCGCCATTGATGGGCTTCATAGTATACCGTATACCACGCCCGATTGTTTTTTTTTATCCGCTTTGTAATATGTCAGTCTCGTATTACGTTTTTATTTAAATTGTAAATGATATATTATATACCTTTAAATATTAAAAAAAAAAAAAATAATGACGATGTTTATCATCAGGATAATATGAATATTAGAATATTAGCTAAGAATAAACCCCATATAATTATGTATTAAAACTAATAATAATAGAAAAATTTATAACATAAGTTTCTTACTAAAAAATTTTGACTTAATATTAGAAAAAAACTGTACTTTCAGATTATCAAATACTTTTAGATTATCAAATATTGGGACAGTTAGCCGTTTTAAATAGACTTTAAAAAGAAAAGTCTGATTACGTTGCCCAGATTTTGCCACGTAGAGGCCACCCCAAATACACGTAAGAGCCATCATTTTGAATTTGCAAAATAAATATTTTAATTAAAAAAAAGAAAGAAAGAAAGAAAGAAAATGGAAAATTAACC